AGCAATATGGAAGAATGGTCCATTACATTATGATTATCTAGGTAGAAAGTAATGGATAAGAGAATCGGATAAGATATTCCTTTATAATAAATTTTTTCTGATTTTGAAAAATCAGATAAGTTTCGGCATTTTAAAAACAATATAATTTTTTCTATAAGATCAAAAGATACAAGAATATACAAGCTACGAAAAAGTCAAATATTCTTAACTTTCACCTGATATAAAAAAAATAGGCTCAATCATATACTAGAAGCAAATAACCAGTTCATTTTTCCACTTTATTTGTTTATTGTACTTTTTATCAGATATTTATTTATATTTTAATAAAGAATGAATTAATATATGAATCTACATTATTAAATTATTTAAATTATTTGTAGTTTTCTTTTATTGGGCTTAATATTAAACATGGCTGTTGTAACGCCATGCTCGACATCAACCTTAATAGGATGATCCGTATTAATCTTAATTAGGAAGCACAAATATTAAAAATATTAAATAAAAATTGATTCAATAACCAAACAGTGGAAAATTAAATGAATAACTTACATCCTCAGAAAAACAATATCAACTTTAAATCTTGTTTGAAGATTATTTTCAATTACTGTGCAATCATTCTCTTTGAATATTGAACTTTCTGCAATAATTGCAATAGTTTGGTCATCACAGGAGACATCGATCTGCTGCTTTTGTTGGACTCCAGATGTATACATTTTGACAATATAAAAACTATTACAAAAAAAAAAGAGATTTAGTTGCATGCATATTAAACAATACAAAATATTAACTAATACAAACTCTTTATCGTTGTCATACAACTCATGGACAAGTTTCTTTGTTTGTTTTGTTTGTTATAAAGGTAGATATGTAATCAACTCTTCTTCCAGAGCCAGTAGTCCTTTAACAAAAAAACCCACTTTCGATAGAAAGAGTAAGGGGAAGTGGGACTGCATGCCGTATACAGGATGGTGGACAACAAAAGATATTAAAAATTATACCCTTTCTCTGTTGCCTTCCATAATTAAATAACATAAAGGTGAGTTGAAACAATCAGATAGTTGTTATAAATATTGTGAAATGTATATTGTGAATATCTGCTGTGAAAAGAGATCACGTTGATAGATGTATACGATATTAGCAATAATTAGAAGAAAATTCGTTTATTTTATTGAGAGGGAGAGAGAAGTTATGTATATTTCTGAATAAACTATTAACAATTTCAATAAAATAATGAAAAAGGGGGAAGTAAGGTCATTTTATATGTTTTTTTGTTGTACAAAAATAGAAATATCAATAATAAACACATATATATACAAGAAAGTTTTTCAATCACAATATAATTAAACATAGTTAATTGTCATCATGTAGAAAGTATAGTATAAAGGATAAAATTTTTTCAATCACAATATAAGGCCAGGCAAAAAAAATTTTTAGATTCTCGGGACATAAAATTTTAAAAATGACCCGGCCGGCCGGCATTTTTTTTTATATTTGTAAAATTTTTTTATATGTAAAATTTTTTTACGCCACATTGGCCAATAACTTATAATCACGTTATAAAATTTTTTACTATAAAAAAAAATTTCCCATTTTTCGAAAAACTGACCCGGCCGGGTCACGAGAATCTAAAATTTTTTTTTGCCCGGCCTAACCAACATAGTTAATTGTTAAATTTTTTATGCTGTCCTTCTGTCACGATCATATGACCACAGCAATAATTTATGGATGTGATGATTGTGATGTGATGATGCGAACACGCTGTTTATATAATCAAGTGTTTATTATATAATATTATGAAACATGTATATAATTAATAATTATTCGGCTCGAAGTGTCGAATAAGTGATTTATCCGGTATCCCGTGATTTGAATATTGCCTGATACACGATTTATTATAACCATTTTTAATTATAAAAAATCACGTGATACTGGATAAGTATTATTTATTTCATGGGGAGTTGGAAATAATAGGGTTTTTTTCCCGAAGGGAAAAAACCCTATTGTTTTCCTTCCCAGGAAATAAATGGGTAATCCCCTGGAGCGTGTCACTCATTAAATATTAACTATTTTAACTATTTTAAACTAAAATTAGTAATTTCCCGGCTATCTATATAAGACCGGGAAATAACTAAACGAAGATTCCCGGTCATTTATAAACTCAGCTAATCACTCGCAATTTTTAAAAATTAGTATGAAGGTGATCATGAGTGACACTTAGTGCGACAGGGGATTATAATATTTATTTTTCTTTGTAAGGTTATTCGGATGAACAAATGTATGAATATCACAAAATCCATATACAAAACATTATATTTTAGTTTTTCAAAATAAATAATTATAGTGAGAATTATTGTAAAATATGCGGATAGAAAAAGTATACAATATTATATAAATCATGTATAATTAAATAATTTAAAAGTAAATGGTTAGTGAAAATGAACAAATTGAAAAAGGCAATTACAAATTAAAAATTATCATGATATAGTACAGTATTTGAATGGATATCATATAATCAATTTGATAATATTATAAGAAAAGGTGATTTTGCTACAGGTTACAGCAATATGAGAAGATTGGTTCATTAAAATTTAATTTGAATATCAAAAGGAAACCAGATAAAAAAGTTTTTTTAAAATTCCATATGACTTACAAAGTATTACTGATGAGGTATGAAAAAAATTAATTTAATTTAAAATGATATTTAATAAAATTTTCTTTTTTAAATAGAAATTATATACAATGGAATGAAGGATTTTATAAATTTGAATAGCGAAAATGAAAATATCAATGATTTTATTAAAGAAATGCAATTAAAAATTGGTGATTGTAATGATGTAATACTTGAATGGATATCATACGATCAATTTATTGATATTAAAGAAATAGGTAGGGGGTGGATTTTCTACAGTATATTTTGCAATATGGAAGAATAAAGAATATAAACAAGTTTCTTTAAATGTGTTTATGGATCACAAAATGTGAAAAATGATTTTTAAATGAGGTCAAAATAAATTTGAAATTGTTACAACTGTTACAGCTAAGTTTTCAGTTTGGAAATGTTAGATTTTTTAACGTACACGGAATATTTCAAGATCCAGATACAAATGATTATATTATAGTTCTTGAATGTGCGAAAGGTGGAAGTTTTAGTAATAGCAAGAATAAAGGATTTTCTTGAAGGAATAAATTAATTTATTATTAATGGCCTCGATGGTATACATATGATTCATCATGGTTTTCATACAGGAAATATTTTACTTGATGAACGTGAATTATTGGTTGAAAATCAAAAAATATTTATTTCAGATATGGGATTATGTGGAGAGGTTGGTAATACAGATGAAACAAAACTTTATGGAGTTGTTCGTTATATGCTTCCTGAAGTATTAAGAGGAAAACCTTATACTCAAGCAGCTGATATATATAGTCTTGGTATGATCATGTATTTTATAGCAATTGGAAGACAACCTTTAATGTTGATCGTGATCATGATCAATGTTTAATATTGGATATTTGTGAAGGCGTTAGACCTAAAATTAATGTTCCAGAAGCACTATTGACTTGATGAAAAGGTGTTGGGATTCAAATCCAGATAATAGACCGAATACTATTGAATTAAAAGAAATGATTGACCTATTTTGGGATTCAATTAATTTATGTGATGAAGGACGTTATGATATTAGAAATCAATTAAATGAAGCAGAAGCGTATAGAAAAAAAATTCTTTCATATATAAAAAGTGATGATCAAGTGATCAACTAATTCACAGAATACACTGTGTACACAGGTTAATAATTATACATCTTGTTTAATTACATGTCATACTAATAATCTTGCAATATATGATTCTGGCGATTTCTCGGGGTGTGCTATTTAGTGATTTATATTATTGATGACAGAATTAAATCAAGCAATCGATATTATAAAGGGTGAAATTAGTAATTAATTATTTATGCGATTTTGTTCAACACTAATAATCATAGACGGAATAATATATAACATAATAATAATGATTTGTTTGAAATTGAACAAAATTTTAATTACATTTTATGGTATGGTAGTTTTTGTTAGTGTTGAATTGTGTTGGAATTGTGTATTAATCAATTATTAAATTTACGAACAATTTTATTTAAAAAATGTATATTTACTTACGTTATAAAGTTTTATTTTCTTTAAGTTTTTACTAAAAATGGACCGTCATCACTCATCACCATATATTATTTACATTGTTATTTTTAACTTAAAAAATATACTTTCAATAAATTATTTTGAATTATGTTACACCAATTTTATTTTAATAAAGGTGATAATGTAATGCATATGTGAAATATTTGGGGTTAGTTCGTTTTTGGTTTTCTTTTCAAATTTATGTAGCGAATACTATAATTCTCTCAAATATGTAAATTTTACTATTTTAATTCATCTTGAAATTTATTTAAATTAATTAATGATTTAATATTCCTAGGAAATGATGATTATTATTATTATTTAGTTATCAGGTTCCATAATAAGAATTTTATCTATATTGAAATATAGATCTATTTTCAATATTTAATTAATCAGGCTAAATTCTTTTCTTGCTGAAAAAAAAAAAAAAATTTACTAAGATCTTAATAATGTTCAAAGTACTTTATCTTACTTGATTAAAAAAACTTTTCAATAAAATTTTACTAATTATTAGGCTCGCGTATACAATTTTAAAAGACTTTTGATTTAGAATTTTGATTGTATGAACTCGGACACTATTGTTATTATTTTATGGGGGAGCGGAACTCGTGCGTGTACGCAATTTTTTTGATTTATTTATTAATAACGTCATACATTAGTGATAGATCACGTGATTGATTAACATGTTGATGCAGTGTCCTTCCACAATCATCATCTCCTCCTTTTTTTAGGATATAAATCAAAGATCATGTAACATGCATATTGGTGATCTTTACCCGCAATTTAGTATTGAAATATTGTACAAAACTTACACAATCGGAGTAGAATTTACATTTTTCCGATTTATTCTTGCTTCTTTTTTTTATTCATACTTTCTATAATTTTTATATATTTTATAATAATTCCTCAAATAATTCATTAGAATGGATGAATTAAAACTACTCAGTGATGATGTATTTGAGCAAATAAAAGATTTTGACTTATATTATCATTTATCTGAAGAACAAAAATCGTTAATTGACCAACTGATACCAAATGAAGAATTAAAAGAACGGTATCAATATTATGGTTTATGTAAAGAATGTAAGCAGCCTAATACTGGTTGTAGTAATTATTGTCAGTCATGTAATTCTAAACGTTTTCAACAAAATTTTAAAAATTGGACCAGTGGAAATCATGAAGTTGATAAATTAATTCAAAAAACGCAATTAAATGCTGAATATCCCTATAAAATTATGGAATGGATTGAATATGATAAATTTAAAGATGTTGAATATTTGGCAAAGGGAGGGTTTGGAACTGTTTTTAAAGCAATTTGGAAAGATGGATTTATTAATAAGTGGGATTATGAAAATGATCAATGGGAAAGAGAAGCTGAAACAAAAGTCGCTTTAAAAAGTTTACATAACTCGCAAGACATAACAACTCAATTTTTAAAAGAGGTAAGATATTTTTTATAAATTTAAGTGCAATTAGCTTATTAGATTTTATAAATATAAACTTACTATAATTTTCCTTTAAGATTGAGGCACATAATTCATCATGCTCTAGTGTTGGTTGGATAGTTCGATGTTTTGGCATCACTAAGGACCCAGAAACAGAAAATTTTATGATGATAATGGAATTAAAAGAAGGTAGTTTAAGGCAGCATTTAAATAATAACTTTATTTCAATGGATTGGGTGCAAAAGTTTTGTAATCTGTATGGTATTGTAAGTGGTCTTAAGGGAATTCATAATAGTGGGTTAATTCATCGTGATTTTCATAGTGGCAATATATTAAGTGATTTGATTGGTACTTATATTACTGACTTGGGATTATGTCAACCGGCAAATGTACAACCCTCTCAAAATACTCAAAATAGTAATAAAGAAATATATGGAGTATTGCCATATGTAGCTCCAGAAGTTATAAGAGGAAAAGAATATACTCAAGCAAGTGATATTTATGCATTTGGAATTATTGCATATGAAATTTGTACAGGTCTGCCTCCTTATCATGATGTAGCTCATGATGAATTCTTAGCTATAAAAATTTGTCATGGATTGAGACCAAAAAATAATTATAAAATTCCTCAACTACTTCTTGATATAATTAATCAATGTTGGGATGCAGACCCTTTAAAACGACCTGATGTTAATAAATTATATGAGTTATTATGGAATTTATTTAATTATGCTTATAATACATTTGATCCTGCAATTGATAAACAAATTAAAGAAGTGGAAAAAATTAATAAAGAATCAACTTATTTATCAACATCATCACCTTTATTATCTAATGGCACTTTTTCATATATGACACATCCTCAAGCGATTTACACGAGTAAACTTTTAGATTTTAAAAATCTTCCAGAACCAAAAAATACTAACAATAATGAAGATTTACTTGGAAGTGAATATTCAGGTAATTATACTTTTCATTAATTTATTTTCACGAAATAATTCTTACATATTAATTTTTCACTTACAGAATCTATGAGTTTTGATTTTTCTAAACTCGATATCAATTCTAAAGGTAATAATGATTTCTATATTTGGATGTTTATTATAGTAATTTTTTCGATTTATTAACTAATAATTAAAACAAAAATTTATTTAATTTTTTTCTTTTTAATGTAGATGAAAACAATTGATTGAAAAGCCAAGGGATTATGTAAAGCTTTTTCAACATTTATTTTGGGATATATAAATGTGATTTATTTAAACAATATTGGTGGCGTAGATCATGGCGCAGTGAAGTCATTTGATTAGATGGTAGATTTTATTAAACATCATAAATTTTATGTATTTTATTTTATATAAATATTAAATATTTTTCTTAAGTATGTGATTTGGTTTGAGATTAACTTATTAACTTTTCAATAAACTCTTATATTAAAAAATGAACTGTTATATGTTTGTTTGTTGTTTTTACGTTCTTATTGATAAAAAACTATTGTCTCTTATTGTGTAGTTATAATTGACAGAGTCTGAGATGTTATTATTAGATTAAAATAAAATTGATAGAAAAATAATGTTAAAATGTGTAAATATCATATGACTCCATAACAAAGAACATTTATAATTATTTTCCAAATTTATTGATTATTTTCAGTATAAAATTTCATTATTTAGATATAAATCACGTTTTGAATGAATTTATTAATGCTATTAATATTAAACCAATTTTAAGATCTTACACCATTGTCCATAAATAAAATAAAAAAAACAAAATCATATTACTACCAAAGGTCCGTATAAAGGTTGTTTGAGAGAAAACCATGTTATATTAGAAGCGTTTGTGCAAACCATTTTTTATTGCGCAAATTTTAATTTAGTAATCAACACTTTCCGTGACATGACCGAGGATTGATATGTATTTTATTATACGATCTATTATTATTATTAGAAAAAAAATTTAGAAAAAATTTCTGAAAGATTTATTACAGTCAGACCTCCATAATTGCACACCCCTTAAGACCATATGCATAATTTTCAAAATAGTGCATTTAAAGAGGGTGTGCATTTATAGAGGTAAAATAATTAGAGATCATATAAGCTTGGGACCGAACCAGAGGGTGCATTTAGAGAGGGTATACATAGTGGGTGCAATTACGGAGAGTGCAATTATAGAGGTCTGACTGTATATCTATTGGCGTTATTAAAAAAAATGTTTTAAAATGTTTTTGCTATATTATTATTGATAAAAAACATAGCAAACCATTTTTTATGTGTTTTAATATAAAAAATGGTTTGCAATATTTCATAAAATTTTGCTAGAGTTATCCTATAATCTAATAATTAGAAATTATAATCATAAAAATTGAATCCTTATTGGCTGAGATATGTCAATTTGAAGTTCTAATAGCAGTGTTCAATAACTTTCATTTAAAAAATCTTTAAAAGCATGTTAAGCTCCCCCATGAAAATGACCTCTTGTTTAAGGTATTATTATTAGTGTGTTAGCAACTTGGCTATCAATAAAATGAGATGCAATTAATATTATACAATTTACGATTTATTAATGCAGCTTCTTTCAGTCCGGAAATTATTTTCAATTTTGTGATTTCAGACGTCATATTTCTTCAGATGGCTTATATTAATATAAATTCAATATAAAGATATTTGTAGTATACTATTTGAAAATTGAAACAAATCTAAGTTTATTTAATAGACAATTGATTATGTTTAAATATAAATTTATACATCTTATCAATAAATATAATAGCTATCAATTGTGTAATATTATTCAAGATACTCAACTATCATCTCATTTATATTTAACCCATATTAACGCTCCTTTTTAATTTCAAACGTAGTAAGATAATTCTGCCCATTCGTTTCATTCCTTGCAGTGGCTTTAAGTATTTCCATTTGACCAAATGACAACGCAAAACTAACTTTCCTATCAGGCTTACGATCCGTAAAGTAAATCTTAAGAGTTCCCAATAGTTCCATTTTATCACAATATTTTGCTTCATCATCTTTTGTAAAATAAATGCAAAATGTAGCACTTTCTTGAAATTCATTAACAGGACATAAATCATTTACACGAATTTCTTCATCAAATTCAACGACATCTCCTCTTTTCGCTATCGGATGAAATTTATGTATATACCCATCAGATGTTACTCGTTCTGGTGGATCACCTTTTTTAGACAACTTCAACACTCTAATTCCATACGTATAATTGAGTTTTCGATTCTTTATTATGAATTTTACTTGCTCGTTAATTTTCATATTTTTCATTTTATCACTCAAACTTAATCCATATAATGTTGCTCCACGAACAACTGCTGCAATAGGATCCTTAGAAACGACGATAGTCTTTACTTGATCCTTGAATTTTTCTTCAATTCTATTTTTCAAATATTCTGATTGACCAAATCCTCCAACCAGAAACATAATTGAACATTCATCTCGACAATTTTCAAGTTGAATTTCTATCATTTTAAGTATTCTATTTATAAGAGGATCGAACATCGATTTTATTTTTTCGAAATCAATCGTAATCAACCAATTATTGTCTTCCATTAGTTTTTTAGTTTCGCTGTTAACAAATTTTTTAAGAACTTTAATGGTTTCTATTACATCTAACTCATATTGAAAATCTGTATCTTTACCAGTGAATCGAAATTTTACTTTTCGACAAAAATGTTGAACCATATATTGTAATGATTTGATCTTATTATCTCGTATTTTATCAATTGTTGAATTTCCCACTATACTACCCAAATGTTTGAGGAATGCTTCGTCGATAAATGAGCTTCCACAATAATCACCGATTCTCTCTGTAACTTCGCTTAATTGATCTTCATCCACAAGTTTATGTGTTGTCAAATCTACTGTGCCACCTCCACAGTCAACGATCATAAAAGTTGCTGTTTAATCATTTTTAAAGTTTAATGTTTAAAATAGATTAAGGGAGTTAATTCGAATTATATTCGATAGATTACAGTACTTACTTCCTGTTGAAGCCAGAGAATGTTCATTTAGACATTTTTTCATACAATAAATTGCTGCAGCTTCGGCTAAAAAGAATGAAATGAAAATTAAATTAAAAAAAAAATATGGATGGTCAAATAATATAAAAATTGTATATTCAATTTACTTACGTTCCGTAGTGATTGTAAATATTCAATATTTTCTTTACGAATTAATTCAGCCTCAAGTGAACATTCTCTCATTATCGCCAATTCTTTCTTTGAATAATCTGCGGGAACACTAATTATTAAAAGAACACTTTCATAAAAATTCACATCCGGCCAATTTTCTAGTATTCTAATTTTTATTAACTAAAAGGTAAAAAAAAAGACAAAAATTATTAAAAATTTAATTCTACATTTAATATATATATATATATAAATGTTAGATTTTACCTTTCCCATTTCTCTTAGATAATCGGCAATAGCTTTTTTATAATCTACCGGAATTTTGGGTTTTAAATCATCATCAAAACTTCCTAAATATAATTTAAATAATCCAACAGATTTAGGTTCATCTTTATCCATATTTTTTCTTTCAACTTTTTTAGCAAATGCCAGTTTTCCCCATTCCGTCACTTTTTCAAAATCATCATCATATTGAAGAACTGTATTTGTTTTAAAACGGCCACGATATCCACTCCATTCGGTGTTAGTACAAACTTCTTGGTTAGCAGAAGCAGTATGACAATAAGCAAATCCCTATCAAACAAAAATTTCATAAATTATAATAAAAAAAAACTAAAATTTTTATAATATATTTAAAGAATTTTAAATTACCGAATAGGATGTCCCAAAATCTTTTTTTTTTTTATATATATAGGAAAAGATAAAAATGCGTTAAATATTTTATTATTTTAATCCGGTATTTCTCAATCAAAATATAGTACATAATTACTGTACCTATACCAACCACTACGCGAATATCATGAACATTTTTATCTCTTCTCTCATTTTTCTGAGACATTTCATAAAAAAAAAAAAATAGAAATAAATTTAAAAAATTATCTATAATTCAATTTAGAAGAATTTATTTGTGATGATAAATCACATTAAGCTATTGAGAGGTTTATATTTATTATTTTATTAATTCATTAAAACTTAACCGGATAAAATTTATTTAATTAGGGAAGTAGCACAAAATTACAATTCTATTCTATTTTTGATTGTTTATACGAATGAGCTTCTTATCAGGAAACACAAATCTCGCTTCTTTCATTCTTTGAATTCCTGTTCTATTCATTAAATCATTTGAACGTATACTGCAACTATACCATTCGAAAGCGGTAACAGTGTAGTTCAATGTTGATATAAAGACAAGAAATTACAAAATTAGGAATCAATGGAGTGATGGACACTGATTTTGTGTACCTTCAATTCAAAATTGGTATGATTAACCCTAGCACAGATCATTTTTTGGTAGGTAATTATAGAGGTTACTATTACTGGAATGAATCAAGTGCAGGTCCCATTCATTGATGACTTTTTATAAATTTCCGTTTTTTTAACAAGAACAATTAGGTTCACATTTGATTCTTTGAAAATCTCGAATGATTTTTTATAAGACGACACGTACTTTACAGACATAAACATTTTACAAAAGCTTTGCCATACACTTCTGAAGTATGTAATTACAACTACATCATAGTATTTGACTCTGTGCGTGATTATTACATGTTAATTAAAGTACGTCTGATAGTATCCATAAAGGTTTACATGTGCATATCAAATAGTGTTCCTTAATGCTTGTTAGTTTATAATAAGGTTGCTAAAGTTATGTATGTTAATCAACTCCTTTTTCTACAATTCTTTATGATAGAATTGTTTTATATGCACGGTTTATATTCACTTATTCGTCATTAAAATTGATTGGTTTACATTTTTTCAGCAATGAAAATTGTTAAAATACTTAGAAATTTCATAAGAAATTATTATTTGGTTTATTATCTAAACTTATAAAATAATGCGTAACAACAATATTATTCGATTATATCTTTCTTTATACGCGCGAAAAAGGTAAACCTCCAGAATATATATACATTGTAAGCTCTAGCAACAAAAAAAAATTCCAATATATTTAAGACCTTTTGGAATCTTAAAACAAATTTGAAACAAAAGAATTAAAGACTAGAATTAAATTAAAGCAAAAAACGGTAATTTTAAAATATTAATATTTAAATAGTGGAAGTTGGAATAAAAAAATACCAAATATGCCCATATCAGCGCGCCATAATGAAAAAGAATCAATTTTTTTCAACTGCTACATAAAGATAATAAATACACATATATTCCTGAAAAATGAATAAACAAAATAACATTTTTCGTTGTTTAACCTTAACCTCTCTTATTTTAGATAATATTCGTGTTGAAGGTTTATATTCCATCAATAATAATTTCTTTTTAATTCTAATAAAAGTGATAGCATAATGCTGCTTCTAATAATTCATGAAAGTTTTCTTAATTCACTTTGGTTTCATATTAGTAACAATTTAAATTTATGTAGAGTAATATAATTCTCCCAAATATGTAAATTGTACTATTTTAATTCATCTTGAAATTGTTTAAATTAATTGATGATTTAATATTCCTAGATAACGAAATATTGTTATTATTTAGCTCACTATCAGGATCCGTAATAAGAATTAAAAAGGTTTGTCTATATGGAAATATACGGTAAGTTTATTTTGGTATAAAAATATATAAAAAAAATTCGCAATCCATATCAGAGTATGAAGAATTCGGTAAGGAAATTCAAGAATTATAGAAGGCATCTCCTTACCCTGGTTTGTTGATCTGATGGATTCCAATCGATGATCTAACGAGCAACCAACCAACTAACTATTGGATAGAGGTGTCCCAATCCCAAATTTTTTGTCACCTGTACGAACTACGAAGAGATTATTATAGGTTTTGATAAAAAAACTATTACATTTCACCTACTCCCCAAAGGAGAAGCAAGTATAACAAGAAAGTTATTATCTTCCCAGGAGGCGGAGCTCAACGCTCATTACCTTTGGTAATGAACTCTTTTCGGCAGTAAAACGGAATGTTAATACCTTGGCTATCGGTTATTATTATAACATTCTTTTTTTACTACCTGTAATCTAGTGTTTAATTGTTTTTCAGCTAATAACACATTTAAGGCAAAAGAACCGATTGATGTTGTTATGAAATTACGTACGATGGCGAAAAAGGATTTATGTTAGTCTGATGAGAATGGGTCAAAATCTGAAGGATCATATTGAGGAAAACAATTTACTATCTCGTCATCGGTTTTATGGTTTTCTACGATCCTTCTCCAGTTCTTTATGTCAACTTCATAGGGATGATGATATTGAGAAATAGATTTGATAGATTTGTGATTGAGGTAAAGCATAAAAAAAAAGAATAAATATTTCCGATTCTTGCTTGCTTTCGTAATTTGTATTAATATATTTTTTACTTCATAGTGGTATGACACGTAGCGACGCATTTCATGATGTTCAAGAACTTATTCATAATAACCAACACCACGGTAAGAAGTTAATATATAATGCGGTTGATTATCTACTGTAATTTGATAACAGTTATCGTCCCATATTATCAGCAAATCTACCGGAAGATTAACGTCAAATTATGGAAAATTGTTGGATACCAGCATACCAACCAAAAATTAAAGTACTTGTGAAATTTTTTATAAGAAATGCAACGGAGATTCCAATATTAATTGGGTAGCATCAAAGGATGATAAAACCGAAATATCATTTGCTTTTTGCATTCCAAATGATTTCGTTCACTACAAAAATAATAAATACAATTTTTTGGAAACAATATTTTGCAATATATGAATGTTCCTTGTGATCAAATATCATTCCAGTTCTATCGTCTTTATTGATTTTGCTACTTATTATAATACAGATTATAGAAATGGTAATTATGGTGAGTTAATTTTTTTTCCAATTGATCATGACTGATGAAATAATTTTATTTTATTTTTATTTTATTTCAAGAAAGGCAGGTAAACTGCTGAAAAGATACATAATCATATAGGTACAAAATACATACTAACTACGTATACACATTCAACTAGTAATACACATCCCATACAGGACCCACCTTTCGAATAATCCCGGTAGTAGTGACAGTCGCAGTACTGAAATATTGAAGTAAAAGTTAAAAGGGGAAGAAGAAAAAAAAATCAAGGGAAGAAGAAAAAGTAAAAGTAAATTTAAAGAAAAATCAAAATAACTTAACCACGATACATTATGTAAAAAGTTTGAACTGGTGAAATAAATCCACATTGTATCATCGGTACTCTGAGTATTATACGGGTTACGGTAAATGTGGTAGGAACGTTTTGACGACGCGTTCGGAATGTGTGGCGTTTGCGATGGATGTTCTGGTTCATGGTGAGAACGTTTCGATTTTTTTCGAGCTCGGAATCTTTTTAAAGAATTCTTGTCAACATTATGACGAAGTTTCCACTCCGCAAAAAGGTCACAACGGTGTTTCCAGATGTCAGTATAAATATCATAATGTAAATTATATACAAAATTGCATAAAAGTTTCTTGAGAAGTTTATATTGCCCATCGCAGCTTTAAAAGTGGCAACTAAATCTCTCGGTATCAAATTGAGTAAAAAGTTGTTAGAGTTTTGTTTTCACTGATCGTTGAAATGTCTTGTTGGATCCAAGTAAAAAGCTCACAACGGCGAAATGAATCTTCGAATAGGATCGAAGGATGCGATGAATTTTTAGTAAGTAAAGCCCACAATAAATCTTTGTGTTTAGAAAAAATAGGTTTTAATCGTTGTAAACCATAGAACACGACCAAAGGTGTTTGTTGGATTCGATTTCTTAATTACAAAAAAAAAAAAGCAGCGAGACCTTGTAAGAGTCCCGGGAAGTTCCGGTTGAGGACGTCGAGTGTAGGTAAAGTTAAAGTTGGGGACTTCATTTTCTAACTTTCCAGTTTACTAAGCTTGAGAGTAAGGCGATCAAAAGGGTTATAAAGCATCCAAATATGGGTGTAACGCCAATCGATATAGTCCGAAAGTCATGACTGATGAAATAATCCTGAATGCGATAATATAATTCCTTTGTCTGAATATGTCATAAAAACGAACTCTTAATTTCATATTAGTTGCTAAGATTAAGATCATATATTAATCGTTCGATTTACATTTTTGTTATCATTGATACTATACTATCGTTAAGATATGAAATAATTTGTATATATTGAAATCTTCGAATAAAAAAGAACTGGCCACCCTAAATAGAAAATCATGATTTAAGTTATCTTGTTATTTATTCATCACTGCGAAAAACAACAGTAAATTTCTTACGTATTTTATTTTATTGCTATTACTAAACTATTTTTTTTTGTTCGGAATTCCTCTTTTCAAACCATCTTACACCCAGGAGACTCGTCAACGTATCAGTAATACTCCAACAATCTTCAAAACCTATTTCACGGTTTAAATTAAAGTTCCACGTTTCTCGAAACCTTCTCAAATGTCGTCTTGAAATTTCACAGAAATGCTAGTCCTGAAAGTCGATTCCTTACATAAAAACTCAATATGATGTATGGTTTTCCTTAATCTCCCCACCAACATAGGAGACTTACTTTCGATTATTGCTGCGCTGATTGCATAGAAACAGAGGAATCAAAATTTAAAAAAAACTTGTATCACAAGTTATTGATTGAATGATTTCATGTGTTACAGAATTTCACAGAATGCGCGATCATTGCGTAATCCTGGAGTCACTACCGGATGTACCACACGTGTGTGTGCGCAGCTCGAGAAATATTTGGTAACACTTAAAAATAAGGCAACCGTGACCTCGTAGCAAATTTTTTGTATTACCGACAAATGAAATTTCTGCATAAAAAAAATGATGTGAAGAAGAATCATATTTCAATTTGAAACTATCTCCAATATACAGTATATCACTGTTGTAGAGTAGTACTGTTTCCATTGTTCAGAAAAAAATCTTGAATGCGATTGAAAGTTAACCTTGTTAGATAATTGCTAAAAACGAAATTAAGTTGTACAAGAATTAGATGGTTTTTTTTTTGAGGAAGCAGCTAAACGATGAGATAGGATCATATATTATTAACATGGATAAGTCAGAGAATATCGTTACTCCATAACTCAGGATTTAACCAAAAAAAGAAAAGTTTTTCCGCAATCTTATTGTAAAACGTTTCATGTATAATATGTAGTAGTATGTGAGCTTTGCTCAGTTCTACCAAGTCATTTATTAGTTGAATAAAGTTTCATATATTTGGTCTGTACAATAAAAGCTTCCAGAGAAAGGAACCTGTGTAATGTTTAATTGTTTGGGAACACATAATAATGGAGGAGAAGATTTCAGACTCGGGATCAATAAATAGTAAGTTGAATTAAAAATGAAGATCAATGTTTTATCATGTCATTATTATACGGAAAAAAAACAATTGCAAATATTTTAATTGAAACACTAACTTATTTCCTTCAGACATTTATTAATAATACTCAGAGTTGTGATGTAACTCCGGACGTGTACCAAGATTCCAAAGAAGGGTTTTAATCCTTCTCCCAATTCGTTTGGTATACGAATCACAATCTTCGAGTCTTACACTTTCAAATATTAGATTTTCAGAATCAACATCACTTCGTGAGCAGAGCTGAAATGGCAGTAGTGATCAACTTAATGGAATATACTGTTTAAGAGAGAGTAGTGACATTAGATCTAAGTTTATTGAACCTTACTGTCAACGTATGTATTGTTTCTTTAAGTTTCTCTATATCTTTTGTATACTAACAATACTATCACGAAATTTGTTGGATTTAGGTAGATATGCTTCAGCAGACGAAGGAATTCTATTTAAAAATAAATAGGTCAATTTTGATGAAGTGAAATCTATCTTAAAGAGATATCATTACTAACCTCAGTTGATTCATATTCAGAATCGTGACGAAGTTTTCTACTATCCATTGCGTTTCATATTTAAATGCCTGGAGGGCATTCCTTCGGAATGTAAATGGGCATTTTTTGATAATATCCTCTTCAGTTTAACGGAGAAAAGACTTTCATCAACATCTTGATTTCGGATTAGGAATAATGTCATCTTCGTTATGTAAGATCACTTATATACTTATCAGGATATTGTTTAACATGCTCGAGAGACACTCCTTAACGTTGTTAGAGAGTTTATCTGTCATCACTGGGTATCACATTTCTTGAAATAGCTCTCTCTCTATATATAATATTATTAGATTACAAAAAAAATAATAAAAATTCGAATTAATTCCCCTCAATAACAAATGATTAACCTTGTTGTTAAGTAATATGGATTATTTTTATATGTTGAGATCTTTGAATAAAAAAAAAGAAATACGTGATGGTCACAGTTCATATTTGCCAAATCAATCAAACAATTTCCTCGTTAACCATCACATCAAGAAGGTTGGAATGTATATATATTGTCTGCAGGTATTTTACTATAATATATTGTATCACTAATGAGGTTAAGCCTACGAAGTAAATCTGTGTATTGGCGATAACTTAATTTCTGTTATCTTTATTTTTTCCTCGTTAATATATTACGGGTATTTTATTGCATGACAAGTGGTAATTGGGTCAACTGCAGTATATGTCGGTGATTGGTATTATCCAGAAACCGATTAATCTAGTTATTACGGATTACTAATAACAGTATAGATTTTATCGGAATTACTTCTCAAAAACTTTACGTGTATGAAAATGTCATTATATCCGGAGATGCTGATCTCTATTTAACGAGGATTTTAAAAAGCCTGAAGGGCATTCCGAAGCAACGTGAACAACGTTTTTTTGGTTGTTCTATTATCAAATATAATCAGAACACGACCAGACTCGATTATATGTGAACTGTCCATTTGTGAAGATTGGCATCATCATTTTTGATCTGTCTACTATACTATTCATAAAAGTGGTATTGCTTGTACTGTATATATAAATTCGTAGCAATTTTACTCAGTGTATTTCTGAAACTGGATATTCCTCGGAACTCTGAAAGAGAAGCTACTACTATTAGTAAAAAATGATGCAAGCACGAAAACAAAAATGTTTACAAGACGAAACGTGATTAGCCTTAGATAAAACAATTTGCCGTTTATTAATTATTTTGTCGTTAAAATTTTTCTTCAAATAAGGTAGATAGATAGATGCATTGTATATGTAAAATAGATTATTTACATATAATAAGAATAGACAATTACTATAGAATTCATAAGGGAACTACATCATTTTCATAACCAATTTCATGTTGAATCAATTCTCCCTCTACATTTTCTTCTACATCTAAAAAAATACCATCTTTAGTTATTTTGACTGCAATAACCTTAAAATCGGTATCGTAAAATTTGATTTTATGGCCAATGAGTTGAATCGCTTTGTCAATTGAAGGCTGTAAAATTGCAAAAAAAAAAATTAATAAAAATGTTACTATCACTTCATGAAAAGTAATTTTGATTATTTACATTATCCGAGCGTGTAACTTCTGGATCTGGTTTAAGGATTGGCTTCGGTCTAAAATGAGATAACATAAGTATTCACATGAATCTATGATTTCACTCCGTAAATAATATGCAAACATACAAAGTATTAGAGTAGACTAGAGCAGCACCCAATTCTTCCTGTGCAACACGAAATCCTTTTTCTTCTTTGATTTTGTTAAATCTTTCCACAATTAAAAGGATTCTTTCTTCTTGTTCTTTAGTTGCTCTGTATAAAAAAGGAGATGTTAATAAAGTGACTAAGAACAGGAAGTAACAATAAAATTACTTACTTTCTTGGATCAAAGTTTTTGGCCTTGCATTTCACTGGATCCAGATATGTTGAACCAAACTCGTTGGTAGTTAGACAGGCATAATAGGCTTCACAAGTCTCATGGCTGCCTTTGACAAGGCTTTTAAATTCTTTTGTAGAGCAAAATATTGTATTAATTACAACACGGCCTGTACTTTGTTAGCCACTAAAATGACCCATACTTACCAGGCAATTTATTTTCTGCGTGCGACATTTTGATTTTTCATCCAAGTTTGATACTAGAAACGAGGATCAGTCATCAGTGTTTATAAATACGGGTGACGAAATTTATAAGTCACGTGAAATTTACAAAATTACGGAAATTGCTCAAAAACCGGTACGTGAATGGTGAATGAGACTACTAATCCGAAGATTATGGAATTATTGATCATTCCACTTAATAGGTCAAAAATTTCGCGTATTGTACAGTACGTTTTTCTTAATCATTTACAAATTTATCTTTATCTCGTTAATTTACTCTCGAGTCTTGATGTGTAACAGTGTAGGTATAATTCTACCATAATATAAAAAGTAGTAGATAGGTCGGTAAATTAAGTAACACTAATATTAATCCCCTTCGTCCTATTGCGTGGCGAAGTATTGGAATAATTAATGATCACGTGATGAAGATCATTTTAATATGAACGAATGGTCGGGTATAGTGGGTCTTGACCTGTCGTAAAGACGTTTGCCACATCAAGCTACAAAATAAATTCTTATTATATGAAATAAAAAATTATACATTTCCCGAGTTTCTCAATAAAAATGAAGGATCAAATAAGATTAATTATAAAAATGAAAAATTCAAGAAAGAAAAGAGGTTCTAAGTCTGTCAATTCCATCAAATTCCACGTAATATATTTAAAGAAAAATAAAGAACCAATTAAAATAACAATTTCCTAAAGTTAATGTAAATATATTGCAATTGGTAATTCTATGGAATCTAAATTTAAAAGTTATTAATCGGAACTGCTCTTAGTGTTTAGACTATTGATTACTCGATTCACTAATGAATAATTAATAAAATGAAATTTCCACGATCACCTGCCCCTATAATCACAATAGCCAATAGTTTAACGTCATTCCGGACGCAGTAAATTTAACATTTATACAAATAAATTAAATATAATACTGCGACCTAAAAATTAATAATTTCACTAGTTAAGTTCACCCTGCAGTGGAAATCGATATAATTTACTGCGCCACAAACGTGACGTTTTGACCTCGACTGTAATGATTTTTTTTTTAGCTCGCGAGAGTATCAAGATTAACATTGATAATTGATTGATTCAATCAATGACTCAATCACAAAATATTTGCCTCGATTAAAATTGAACTAATTTTTGTTTGTTCAAATTCAGTAATTTGATCAATCAAACTTATCCAAATAAATCAATCAAAAACCCTAATTTCAGCATAAAAAATACTTTGGAACATAGTAAAAATATTGATCAATAATGTAATAAAATAAATTAGAATAGAAATGAGATATGAGTAAAAAAAAAGATTCAATCATTGATGGTAATGATCATGATTTATTTTTAATAAATTGATTGAACTTGAAAACTTGAACAAGCAATTGATGTTTCAAAATGACTGAAGAGGGATTAAAATTATTACAACAGAAAGAGGGGGAAATTCGCCATTTCCGAGTTCATTGCTCGGTATATGAAACTATATGGGTTTTATTCTGAAACATTTGAAATTTATTACGATCAGTTTTGCGAATTTCATTTATAAAAAAATCTCTGAAAATGAGCTTTGTTAATTTTTTTTTATTTTAATTAATAATGTTACATAAGTAGTACATAGAGCTCTTGTAATTTCACTGTATTTGGTTCGCTTTGTGATTTAAAAAATAAAAAAAATAATTTATTTTCATGTTTTTACTTTTTTGTTTTATCCATAATCTCTGTATGATAATTCCTTATTTATTATTTATTATGGAAGAAATTAAACTTAGTGATGATTAATTTACAGATTTCATTACTAGTTGCACTAGAAACTAATTTTATTTATACTGGAAAAAGTAAATTTTACTTCAATTTGTAATGATTGAAAATGCTGGATCTTTCCAGTTTCTTCATCATTTTTGACTTTTTACACTTTTTTAACAGAAATGATTTATTTCAATTCAAATTGGAATTTCTATTATAAAGTGTAAATTTTGTTTACTACTGATTTATATGTTAACTAGTAGTTTATTTTTTTAATTCTTTATAAGTTTATGGATGTCTTGTCATATAAATTGGTGAATTGCTAAAATTAAAAGGCATTTTTTTCTTTGACTGATCATCAAAAAAAAAAAGAAAATTTTAAATGATTTTTTTTATTTGAATTGCAATCTAGGTAATCCAGATTAGATCTTTTGTATAACTAACATTCAGATCTGATTTCATCGTGTCAATTGTAATACAAGAAATTTTTCTTTATCAAAACCCTTATGTTTTCTCTTTTAACCATGAATACCAGTTTTGCTAATTTATTGCCTGTAATGTTCAATATAATAACAAATGCAAAGGTAATATTGTACACAAAAATTTTACTTAAAAAATTCAATAATTCAATTTTATAATACTGTATGTTTAATTTGATTTACTAACTCATGAGAATTAGCGTTTAGAGATTTCAGATACTTCTGGGTCGAGCCAAACTTTTCTTTTAATATCCTAAATGCGCTAGAGATCAACCTTTTTATTTCCTGATACCTTAAATTTGTCCTTTTAATTAAATGTTATTTCATGTCTAAATTTCCTAACACATTCATCTCATGGCATCAGTGGTTAATTTAGTTAAATTAGAAAATAAAAATATGTTTGTCAATTAAGAAAAAAACTTTATTAAATAATCAAATGATATTTTTTAAAAAAAATTATATGTAATTTTTTCTTTAATCCATTTAAATAAATTACGATGATACAAAATAGAGAAATCATTTTTTTTTTCTCTATAATTTTAAATGGAAAGTAAGTTAATGTATTTCCTTTAATATAGGAATTATAAAAAATATATAAATATATATTAAGATAAATTTTAAACATATAAATTTTATAAACTTAAAACAATTATAAAATACAGTATAAGGTTAAATTGAATGATAAACAAAATTTTGCTTTTACATTATTTTAATATTCTATTAATTATGTAAACAAAAAATTTAAGCACAATCATCGGAATTGATATAAAGGTTGGTAAAATCAACTTTTATTGATTCTAATGTATATAAAAAGCTAGGAATAAATATTGTATCAAAAATACGATTTAATAAAACAAATTAAATTCATATAATTACCTGAATATTCTATTCCAACATTATTATTAGCATTTTTTGGTTCTGGAAGATTTTTAAAATTTAGAAGCCTGCTTGTATAAATTGCTTGAGTATGTGTTGTATATAAGAGATTACTAGTAGATGATGATGTTGTTTGAACTGTTAAAGACGACAACTTGAAGTTAATTTTATTTGCTTCATCAATTTGTTTAGTGATTTCAGAATCATTATCGTGCTTATTATCATAATAATAATTCCATAATAACTCTCGCAATTCTTCTACATTAGGTCGTTTTAAAGGATCTGCATCCCAACATTGATTAATAATGTCAAAAATTAATTGAGGGATTTTATAATTAGACTTTGGCCTCAACCCATTACAAATTTTCATTGCTAAGAAATCATCATGTGCTATATAATAATAAGGAGGGAAACCTGTACAAATTTCATATGCAATAATTCCAAATCCATAAATATCACTTTTTTGAGTATATTCTTTTCCTCTTAAAACTTCTGGAGCTACATAAGGTAATACACCATATATTTTTTTATTACTATTTTGAGAGGATTTAATATTTGCCGGTTGACATAATCCCAAGTCAGTAATATAAGCTTCATCATCAAAATTACTTAATATATTTCCACAATGAAAATCTTGATGAATTAATCCTTTTTTATGAATATCTTTAAGACCAATTGCAATAAGATGTAAACTACGTAACTTTTTATTCCAATTTAGTGAAATAAAGTTGTTATTTAAATGTTGTCTTAAACTACCATTTTTTAAATCCATCACCATCATAAAATTATTTGTTTTTGGATCTTTGGTAATACCAAAATAACGAACTATATGTGCAGTATAATGTACTAAAATATTTGATTCAACCTTAAAAGAAAAATTATAGTTAGTTTAACATTTTAATATAAAGGCTAATAATACTAAAATCAGTAAAAAATATCTTACTTCTTTTAAAAAATCTGCCGTAATATCTTGGGAATTATGTAAGCACTTTAAAGCAACTTTCATTTTCTTTTTTCTCATCCATTGATTATTGTTATAACTCCAATACAAAATAGGACCATCTTTCCAAACTGCTTTAAAAGTAGTTCCAAATCCCCCTTTTGCTAAATATTCAACATCTTCAAATTTATCATATTCAATCCACTCTATTATATTGTCTGTATCTTCAGCTTTTAATTGTGCTTTTTGAATAAATTCATCAACGTCATGATTTCCACTTGTCCAATTTTTGAAATTTTGTTTAAAATATTGAGATTTACATAACTGACAATAATAAATACCAGACTTAGGCTGGTTACATTTTCCGCATAAACCATATCGTTTATAACGTTCAATTAATTCTTTATCCGTTATTAGTTTATCAATTAACGATTTTTGTTCTTTAGTTAAGTTCCTATACCGGTGGTCAAAATCTTTTATCTGTTCAATTACATCATTACTTAGTTTAATTTCATCCATTTTAATAAATAATTTTTTAAACAAAAAATGAATAATAATTCGTGTGTAAAAATTACTAAAAAATAATAAAGGAAACGTTATTTTATTTCAAGATCGGCAACAAAATTGTGAAAAAAGACTAGTTAAAATACACAAAGGAACACAATAATCTGATCGGCAATTAAATTTATCCAATTTTGGCAAATAAGGGTTTTTATTTAAATTTTCTATAATAGGTAAGATCAAATGACGAAATTTTAAATATGATGAGTATTATGTAATTAAAAGTTGTGTATTGCAATGAAATAAATTTTTTTCATAAGTGAAACTAAAATTTATGAAAAAATAACTTCTGTATTGAGAAAAAGGTAAAGAACTGAATATATATATTCGTTATTTTGAATATGAAAATTTAGTTGAATAGTTGAAATTGGCAGAGGAGCTTTTGGTAAAGTGAGTAAATCAAGTTTGGTTAATACAGGATTAGCCGCACTGTCAAGTATGAGCTTAATAGGGTAGGAATCAACTTTTTATGTTGTACACTAGGATGAAATCAAGAATCAAGTTAAGCACATTAATTAACAATTTTTTTAATGTATACATTTTAAAAAAACGACAGTGATACAAATCATCTAAAGAGGAGATTTCTTTAAAAGAAAGTTGTCTGGTAGACCATATAATAAAATTATATAACAATTTTTTCGGTCCTCTTTTATTGAATTAATCAATGATTATATTCCTAAATAACGAAACGTTGTTGTTTAATTCATTATCATGAACTCAGGATTATAGATTATGTAGATTTTATATATTTTACTTTATGTAAGAATTCTTTAACTATCTGCCCAAATATCATTAATTAATTTCGTTTCTTTGATAAGCATGTGATATTAAAGGAATAATTTAATTTATTCACATGGATACAAATTAATTTGATAATGTTTCGTAACAACAGTGTCAAATAAGTTTTAGATAGATCAGGTGATGATCACATAAAATTTGTTACCTTTTTTTGGATATGAACGAGTAAAAAAAGGAAACAAAAAGAAAAAAGGAGGAAGATCATAGTATTTCAATAACACATGACTGTAATTACAATATCTTTAATCGTTGTGTTTTAAAAAATATGAAACTAGAAATTTTTACATTATTACTAAAGGAATTTATTACGTTTTAAGCAGTAATCATATAGAATATTTATTATATTGTATATTGTTAAAACATTGCATGAAATAATATCTTAATTAAATTACAAGCCATAAAAAAACGTATAATACAATTACTTTAATTATCAAGCATATGAAAAAAAAATAAAAATTTAAAAAATAAAAAATAACATTCTATAAAATAAATATTCCAAATGGCATGATGGACAGGAACTGTTGAAACTTCCCAAGTCTATCGAGATCATTTAACATATTCGACATACAAAGTAGTTCGGAAACCATGGATAGAAGGAATTTGATGAAAATCGCGGAGTTGAATTAGGGAAGAGATTGGTTAATATGCTTGTAAAAATGTTTTCTTTTTGAGCATAATTATTATTTTTATTTCTTTTAAAAAAATTCTCTGACTATTTTTAAAAAAAAAATACAGTATCTTATTAATAAAATCAGTTTAATCAATATAATCGTTCTTTTGCAAAAAAATCTTTGATTCATTGATATCAATTACATCATTAATTATACCTTTAGTAAAGCCATTGAGGCGCAAATGCCAAGAAATCTTTTAAAATATTTTTAGTAAACTCTTATTATCCAATTATAAATTGATTACAGTATTGATTTTTTAATACGTTTCACAGCTGTGGGTTTGAACTTTGAATATTAACATATATAATAATAAAAAAAAATTGATTAACTTAAATAAATAAATAATATAAAATAAGTAAAATAAAATAAGATAAAATAGTTTATCACAAGAAAAAAAATTAAGATTAAATAAATAAAACAAACCAAAAATAATAAAATTCAATAAAATATTTTTACTGTAAATATGAATAAGGTAACGAGTTTTATTAAGCTTTATTAATTTGATCAAAATTTTTGGCGATATTCAGAGCGGTACGGATCAGCTGATTCTTTCCCAGAATTTTTACCACGTGATCTGCGACGTTACACTCTTCGCGTTTCTCATTTTCATAATTATTCTAGGAACTTTGGTTTTTACAAGGTGTGAAATCATATTTGTCACTCTCGTTTAATTTCTTAACGCAATAATGCCGGCCAGTTACGTGTATTCCTTTTTCACATTTTAACAAGCTACGGTGAAGAGTTTCCATAAAGTTTGTTCTAGACTTCTAAAAGGATTACGTAAAAATGTAAAGAACAATAGGATCATCGAATGTCATATTTAAATGACAATTTTTTCAGGTAATAAAAGGAATTGTAATTTTTGTAACAAATAAAAGAGTCATGAGAATTTTAAAATCTTATGTCAAGTAGATTTATTAGATTCTAGCAGGTTCCAAATGATAAATTATTCAGATTACTAATGATTTTTTTTTATAAATAAAGTTATAAAATTATATATAAGAAAATAAAATTTAGATATATCAGAGCTGGTTGTTACACTAACATTGAATAAGTTTAACTTAGATGTTAGTTATATTATAAACAAGATAGATTTTTTATTAAAAGAAAAGAATATAAAAAATTCAGAGAGATTTGAATTTTTAGCTAAAATTAATAGCAAGAGAGCTGCCGATTCAATTGAATATATTTTACATAGTAGTAATCTTAATGAAGGTATTGATGAAGAATTTTTTAAATGAATTGTTTCCTGCTGAATCTATGATGGGATTCATTGAAGGAAATAATTATGACGTTTATGGAGTATCGTTCTTGGATTTATTGGTGGAATTCTGTGGGTCATATTTATATCAATTAATTTTGTTTTAAAAAGAATTATTCCTTCTTTTATTCAAAAACTAAAGAATGAATAATTTATAAAATCTTAAAATGCCCGTCAGTACACATATTTATGTTTTTTTTTTCGTAGAAAAATTTGTTATTTCTTTATTTTTAATAAATAAGATTATTAAATAAAAACATTAAATACTTATAAAATTAACCCACTTAATCTGAAATTTGATATATTATCTTGATTTCGAATTTCGAAATAGTAGCGTTAACTTTGGTACGTATCACATGATGATCTATTTAATTGATCAAATGTAATAAACTCCAAAATTTTTGGGACTTACTCAATTAGCCAATATATAATAAATATAACATGGAAAATTTTGCAACGCTGCTTTAATATTTTTGATAAATTTAATGATGCAGCGATACATTTTTTTTAAGAGAGGTTTTTATATTTTTTTTTGATTATAACGCTTCGAACTCAAGTTGGCTCGACTTGAGTCAAAGATCTATTTTGGCTATTTTTAATAAATTTGAAATCGGAATCTATCCCTTGAAGTGATACCTTAGAAAATATTACTTAAAACAAAAATATATTTTTAATTTTTGATCTATGAAATGGTTTTCTCAAAAAACTTTTAATAGAATGGATGATAGTCAATAAATTACAAATATATGTGAAAATATTTAATCTATATAATTTTTTTATATATTAAACTTAATATAAATAATTAAATTTTATATTTGTAGCTGTAGAAATAGAAAAAAAAAATCAAGTAAAAGAAAAAAAATTTTTAATAAATTATTATAAAGTTTGTTTATTAATATTATGTGATCTTTTTTATGAAATTTATCTTACACTTTTTTTAGATCTTGGATGTTATTTAACTAAAATTTAATATAAGAACTTACGCTTAGGTGAAAATATAATTAAATTTTAAATTATTTGAAATTTGTTTCATTTCTGCTTTATACACTCGTGATAATTTTTTTTAAAAAAATAAAAAATAATAAAAATTTCATATATAAAAATAATTAATATCAATTTTTTCAACCAATATTTTGAAATTTAATGACTAAAGGACAAAAAAATTATTATTACGAGGGTTGTTACACAAACAGCAAATACTTGCTTTTAATGGAAAAAAACGGAGTTACGATATTATAGTAACCTGTATCATGCGACAATTTACAATTAAGTTGATCACTGCATTTATAGAATTCTTTTTTTTTTTCATGGAATTCTAGTCAGAGTTCATTCATAATTTTTCCATAATGAACTTCTAGATTAATTGTTTACTATAATTTTTTAGGATTTTGAACTCCTTATTTTAAATATATATACTAGAAGGTTTTCTCGAACGCTACAAACAAATTATATATTTTTTAAAATAACAGAACAATTAATATAAATATTGTTTATAATGTCAGACAATATGTCTTTAAGTCAGCCAGCACGAACTGCTATAGTTGATAAAGGAGGGATAAAATGTAAAGAATGTAATATAAGAAACATTATAGACGAAAATCATGAAACTTGTCAATTATGTTATGAAATATTCAAATCTAATTTAAGTGGGAACAAAATCATTGATGACATTATCAGAAATACACGAGTTAATTTTGTTGAAGGTAAAATTCGTAGGATATTAGAGTTTGTTCCCTATGATCAATTCAAAAATATAGAATTTATTGCAGAAGGAGGATTTAGTAAAATTTATAAAGCTATTTGGGTTGATGGTCCAATTGATGAGTACTACGATAGTCGTACTAGTAATACAATTGTTCATAATAACAATTATACAGTTGTTCTCAAAAAACTTAATAATTCTAAAAACATTACATCCAAGGAACTGAACGAGGTACAGTCCCGCAATATTTTAATTTTCAACGTGATAATAATAAATTAATATTTTTTTCATTTAGTTTTAGGTATATTATCAGATTTTATCAAATGATTATGTAACTCAAGGCATTAGTAAATATTTTGGAATTACTCAAGATCCTATTACTAAAGATATGATGATTATCATGACATATTATAGTTCAGGTGATTTGATACATTATTTAAGTAATAACTTTTATAATATTGATTGGTGGATAAAACTGGGTAGATTATTGCATATAATACATGGACTTTCAATAATACACTCAGCAAAATTATCCACAGGGATTTACATAGTGGAAATATCTTTTTTGATGAATTTAGTGCGTACATAGGTGATCTGGGAATAAGTAGATCTGCAACTGAATCAAATAATGATAATGAGAAATATGGTATTATTCCTTACATGGCACCAGAGATTTTTCAAGGACAAAAATATACTGAAGCTTCAGATATTTATAGTTTTGGAATGATTATGTGGGAATTTATGACAGGTAGAAGACCTTTTTGGGATGAAATTCATGATATAGAACTTATAATCAAAATATGTGATGGTTTACGACCACTAATTGTTACAAATGCACCCGAAGGATATATTGAATTAATGAAGGAATGCTGGCATTCTGATCCAGCAAAAAGACCAATGGCTGATAATATATATGTGAAAATTTATAAAATGTATGATAATGAAAATTTTATAAATCAAACTAAAATTACTGAATCATCAGATATTGGACCTGTAGCAATAAATAATCCAGATGCCATTTATAAGAGTAGACCATTAAGTCGCATGATTAAATCTGCAATGTCTTTAAGGAATTCAAGGAGTCAATCTATCGGTAACAAATTTTATTAATTACAACGCATTTTTATTGCAAGAAAAAATTTAACAATAATTTATTTTTAGATCCATTTTATTATTATCAGAAAAATACTGGTAATTATTCAGTTTTTGTTTAATGTTTTTTTTTTTATGTTATTACTTATTATTAATATTATTTTAAAGATAAGAGAAAGCTTGAAGATGATTCAGTTGAAGACAGTAATGATAATGGTACGGTAATTAATTTAATAAATTATTATTTTTCATTATATTTTCTACTTTTAATTCACATTCATAATTATTTAGAACAAAGTATGAAAAGAAGAAAATTTCTTGAATCTGAAAATAATGGTAAATAAAATTGCATTTTAACAAACAACATATTTCATTTCATAATTTAATTGATTTTTATGATTTTATAGATTACTTTTCAAAAGAAATTGAATTAGATATTAATATGAACTCTAATCAACCTCGTGATAAAGGTAAGCAAATATACATTTATAAATGTTGGTCAACATTATAAAATTTTTATCTAATTTTTGTTTTCAATATAAGGATACGTCACCAAAGAAATTGATCTAGATATCAATCATGTTCTTTAAATTATAATGTTTAAACCAATTTTTTTTACTTATTATGCAATACTATAAATAACTGGATTATTTAATATACAAATCTATTTATATTAAAGAACTTTAATCGGCTAATGGTTTAACCTAATTTTTTATTACTTATTCATTTTCATGCATGATAGCAAACGAAAGTTAAAAAAATTTGGTCTCATCAAAATTTGTAGTTAGAGTATATTAAATAAATGAATTATATAGTTTGGAATTTCTGGAATATGAGAACTGAAAATTATATTTTGTATCGTCTAACTAAAAAGCTTTAATTGCGAAAGTTTATCGATTAAAAAATGGTATTTTATTATCTGCATAAAAAACTGTAATTTTATTAATTAGTAACCACGTAAAAGAATCGTCGCTTTTTCTTTTGACACGCGTTCAAGTTAACCAAAGTCAAAAAAGTGGAATGTATTTTCATCCCATGATGGGAAAATTTGGTATGAAATGTTTCGATAAGGGTACTTAAAATGTAATCCTATTTGAATCAACTTGTATGAATTTTTATATCAATAATAGGTCGTTAGTCCTTATGCCATTGGAGTATATGAATCCAATTTGGCGATGCTATCATCACCTTCATATTCTCCAAAATAGGTTTCTTCTGCGTGTTCGTGATTTGTAAAATCTTTGGTAATTTTTATCAGCCTTATGGAGTTATTACTCTCAACTGTTTATCGAACATTCATTTTAGTATGCAGTAATCGTGGACTCATTTTTCCTTTTGGTGATTTTTTTTAAAAATTTATTTTTTATAAATAAATCAAAAGATTTTTTTTTTAAGTAAACAAACATGTTACGTATGTAAAAAAAGAATAAAATATTCAATTAAAATTAAATCAGATTCTTTAATAAAATATTTCATGATAATTCCTAAGCGCTTGATTATAAATTCAAGAATATTCCAATATAATATCATTAAAAAATTTTTTTTTTTTTTTAACGGTCATTTTATTACTTTATTAGGGGGACCGTTAAAGCAGGGTAGAATCACGTGACTTTCGAAATTTTTCTTTTTTTTTAAATAAAACTCTTTATTATATATAAAACCTTCCAAATAAACATATACTAAGTGCATTTTGACCTGTTCTGCAAGTTGGCTTAGATCACAAAATGAGGTTTAGAACACCGTTTTCGATTTATTCAACTTTTTCAATTTCGTTAAAATTGATCTATCCTTTTTTGGGTATGATCAGCAAAATTCGTTTGCTCATATGTAAAGTCAAAAACATTGTTCTTTTTTTTCTCCCTAAGTAAACTTGTGGAGCAGGCCGAAATACACTTATTTAATGATTTTCAAGTTCACTTTAATTTTAGTTTATAAAAAATTTATCAAATCATAATAATTTTAAATCACGTGATTCTACCCTGCTTTAACGGGCCCTTTATTAGGAAATTAAGAAAATCACAAAAAAGGAAAAGATCTACATTATATTACATTTAGTAAAGAACACGATCGTACTATAACTACAAAAAATAATAATAAAAATAAAACTACGAAACATTACCGTAATCAATAATATTATAAGTAATCTACTGTTTTACCTCCAAAATAAATATGATTTGTAAATCGAAGTATTTCTTATTTTTTGATATTCTTTACCAAATGTTTTTTTTTAACATTTTTACCTATTCCCAACCTTATATCGATTTCGTTAAGTTTATTACACTGTATTTTCCAAAAAAACCATAGGCTTATCTAAATGTATACCATTAAAGTGTTATTTATGAAGTAAAAAATTAATTGGTCCATCATTTCCTATTTTATAAAAAACGTGATATACAGTAAATCATTGTGACATCTTATGAATTTAATCGAAAAACGAAAAAAAATTAAAGTATCTAAGACTTGAATTAAAAAAAAATGACAAAAAATGAAGGAAAAAAATAAAAATAAAAAAAATAAACAAAAAATGACAAACCAAAAAAAAAAAAAATAATAATTAAAATAATTGATAAAAACAAAAAAAAAAACGAAAAATAAAAGATAATCTTGAATTGTGGCGCAATCAACATCCGAGCTATATTTTAATTTGAATAAAATATTAAATTTATTTTTTTTTATATTATTAAATTAATTTAAAATATCTAAAAAAGTATTTATGTAATATTTAATATTGTTCTTCAAATTCTTTAAAGTTGAATGGCTACGTCACTTTTCTGATAGTATAAAATAGTATATAACACGTTATTTATGTTGGATATAGACATATTCAATTAAGTTAGCAGCTCTATATTTTCTCTTGCTATTAATTCTGACTAGAAATTTCATTCTTCTTTACATTCTCATCTTTTAATAAGAATCCTATTTGTTTGCAATATCATTAACATCCAAAGTAAATTTATTTGCTGATAACGCTACAGTCGCTACACCAGCTGTTTCTAATTTTTTAGGCGTTGCCCATCTGATCACTACCAAGGGGGTAACATTAACATACCATTATAAAGATTCAAATTTTCATGTACAGTACATGGCGTTTCAACTGCATAGATATAAAATATTTTTGAAAAATTCAAACCAAGTTAGATATCTCATAAAAGAAAAAATCATCAATGAGTATAATTTTTTTCTTTTCATTTTGCGTGATGTTTAAAAACTTAATTTGTGTTATTTTGCTATATCTATGCAAACATATAAATAAACCAAACTTAGTCATACTCCAAAATAGAAAGTTAGTTTGGATATGACTGAGTTTGGGACATTTGGTTGTACTCCAAACCCATGTTTCAAACCCATCTATGACCCAAATTTATTTAAATACAAAATTTTAATATGTTAATTTTGGCAAATTTAAATTTAATGATCATTATAACAACAATGTTTAAATATTAAAAGATAAATTATTCAATTACAAACTGATTTTATTTATGTAAAAAGGTTTTACAAATACTCTATAATCAGTGTTGAATAAAAAAAAAAAAACTATTTATAAAGAAATAAAATATTTGTCCAATTACAAACTGATTAAACTGATATCACTTAGTTTACAAATACTTTAATACCTTATAATCAGTGTTGAACAAAAAACTATCAATAAAGAAAAAAAATTACGGTTTTATAATGATTTCCTTAAGAACAATGACATTTATTATGTAATATTTTAGGTGTGGGGGTAAAGAAAGGTCTTAATATATATATAGTGTAACATAAGATTTTATTTATTATGTGAGTGCGAGTTAAAACTTATAACAAATGAATATTACATAATAAATGTCACTGCCTGATCATTTTAGACTTATAACCTATTATGCAAATAATGTTAATAATTTATAAATTTTAATATAAAATAAATAAATATAACTAATTTACTTTGTAAAGTCAATAACTTCCATTGAATAAAGATTTTTTGTAAGTGGATTAAGTAATCGAGATGTGTAATAAGCTTCTAAATGAGTACTTGATTGATTACTTCTAATGGATAAAAGATTTGCTTTTCTATATTCTTCTGCTTTGTTAAATTGCTTTTCAATTTCCTTATCTTTAAAATATCCAAAACTAAAAAATGATTTAATCATTATTTCCAACTCAGTAACGCTTGGTCTATTATTTGGATCTGAATCCCAGCACTTCTTCATTATATCAATGTAACATTTTGGTATTTCTGACTCGTTCATTTCAGGTCTAATTCCATTACATATATTTAATACTAAATATTCATCATGTGCATAATTGGAAAAAGGTTGTTTTCCAGTTGCTACAAAATACATAATCATGCCAAGACTATATATATCTGCTGCTTTAGTATAAGGTTTACCTTTTAACACTTCAGGGGCTACATAAGGTATAACTCCATAAATTTTGCTTTCATTTTTTATATTACTGACTTCTCCACATAATCCCATATCTGAAATATATATTTTACTAGATAGGTATGAAATTTCTTTTTCAACTAATATATTTCCTACATGAAAATCTCGATGAACCATTTGTTTTTGATGAATATTATTAAGACCTTTAATAATATCCAATATTGATTGTAATTTAGACATCCAATCAAATTCATCATAATTTTTATTTACCTGATAATAAAAACTTCCTCCACTTGCGTAACCAAGAACTATGATATAATCTTTTGTATCTGGATTTTGAGACAATCCATATATTCGGATAATATTTTCATTATAATTAAGAGAATATGCTCTAATCTATTAAAATATGTAAAAATTTATTAAATATATAAAATAAAATTTAATAATATATATATAAAAAAAATTTTTTACCTCATTTATAAATTCATCAGTAATATTTTGTGATGAATTGTGCAAACATTTTAGGGCGACTTTTCTATTACCACTCGTTCTTCTAAATTTTTCTTTGTAAAATAATGGACCATCCTTCCATATTGCTGAATAAACTATGGCAAATCCACCCTTACCTATTATTTCAATCTTATTAAACTGATTGAATGGTATCCACTCAAATATTGTATCTAATTTATCATTAATTTTTAATTGCATTTCTTGAATAAGTTCATCAATTTTTTTATTTCCGCTGGTCCAATTTATAAAATTATTCTTTAAATTATCTAATTGACATGTTTTACACCAAGTATAATAATGTAAATTTTCACTACATTTTTCGCAATATTTATTTTCAATAACCATTATATATTCATTTGTATCTGGATTTTGAGTTATACCATATATTTTATTATCACGATTATTATCACCATATATTTTTATTGAATATTCATTAGCCTATTAGAAAAAAAAATATTTTTATTAGAAAAATAAAAATAAAATAAATTATAAAAGAACTTGAAAATTTATACCTCATTAAAAAATTCATCTGTATTATGATCTTGCAATTTGTGAAATTTTAAAATAATTTTTCGATCATTATTTTTTAAATTTCTTTGATATATTTTTTTATATTCATCATAATTTAACTGACCATTTTTCCATATTGCTGAACATATTGTAACAAAATCATCTTTGTTTATTTTTTTAATATTATTAAACTGTTCATATGGTATCCATTCAACAATTGTATCATCATAACAATCAATTTTTAATTGCATTTCTTGAATAAATTTATCAATTTTTTCATTTTTACTGGTCCAATTTGTAAAATTTTTCTTCAAATTGCTTATTTGACATGATTTACACCATTTATGAAATGTATCCGTATATTCATTACCACAATTTTCACAATATCTCTCTTGAATAACTATAATATAATTTTTTGTATTTGGATTTTGTGATACTCCATATATTTTATCATCTTGATGGCTGTATATAGAATATTTGTTACCCTAATAAAATAAAAAAATAAATATTACCAAAATAATTAAAATAAAATAAATTAATAAAAAATTTTTTTATACCTCATTAAAAAATTCTTCAGTAATATTTTGTGAATTAAATGATTTTAAAGTAACTATTTCATTCTGATTTTTTAAATTTCTTTTATATATTCTTTTATTTTTATCATAACTTAACTGACCATTTTTCCATATTGCTGAATATATTGTAAATAAATCATCTTTACCTATTTCTTTAATATTAACAAACTGATTGTATGGTATCCATTCAACTATTATATCAGTATAATTATTAATTCTTAGTTGAAATTCTTGAATAAAATTATTAATTTTTTCGTTTCCACTTGTCCAATTCGTAAAATTTTTCTTTAGATAACTTATTTCACATAGTTCACACCATTTTTCTACTATATGTGTACATTGCTTACCACAATTTTCACAATATTCATCTTCAAGAAACATTATATAATCTTTCGTATCTGGATTTTGAGATAATCCATATAGATTATCAATCCTATATAACATTGAATATTCATTATCCTATTAAAAATAAGAAAAACAACATTACTAAAAAATAATAATAATATAAAAAAGAAATTTATAAGAAACTTTCTTACCTCATTAAAAAATTCAGTAATATCTTGTGTATTATAACATTTTAAAGTAACTTTTTTATTCTGTTTTATAAAATTTCTCTTATATATTTTTTTATTCATATCATAATCTAACGGACTACCTTTCCATATTGCTGTACATATTGTAATAATACCATTTTTCCCTAATTCTTTAACATTGTCGAACTGATCGTATGATATCCATTCAAGTATTGGATCATAATGGTGATCAACATGATTTACTTGCCTATCTTGAATGAATTTGTCAATTTTTTTATCTCCACTAGTCCAATTTATAAAATTTTTCTTTAAATAATCCATTTGACATGGTTTACACCATTTTCTACCCCATTCAGGACCCAATTCAGGCATTAAATCTGTATATTCTTCACCACATTTTTCACAATATTCATCTTGAATAACTACTATATAATCTTTTGTATCTGGATTTTGTGATATTCCATAAATTGGAAGAACATTACTATTACGTCCCTATATTGAAAATTAATTAGTATGAAAAAATAAGAACATCACCGGTGGTGAAATTATGATGTAATGCCGGCCAGTATTTTATCAGATTTTTAATTCTGGTCGAAAGTACATCATAATGCTGGTACGGTGAACATCACCGCCGGTGAGCTTAAAAATAATATAGAAAAAATATTCATATTAAAATTTCATACCCTGATTAATAATTCATTGGTAATATTTTGTGAATTATGCAAATATTTTAAAGCAACTTGTTTTTTTCCTAACTTTCTTTGATATTCTTTTTTATAAAGACAATAATATAAAGGACCATCCTTCCATATTGTTGAATATATTGTAACGAAACCATCTTTTCTTATTTTTTTAATATTATCAAATTGGTCATATGGTATCCATTCAACTATTATATCATCGTAATCATTAATTTTTAATTGAAATTCTTGAATAAAATTATCAACTATTTCATTTCCACTAGTCCAATTTGTAAAATTTTTCTTTAAATAATTTATTTGACATAATTCACACCATTTATACTTCACGTTTGTATATTTATTACCACATTTTTCACAATGATCAACTTGAAAAACCATGAAATATTCTTTTGTATTTGGATTTTGAGATATTCCATATATTGGAAAATCATATAAATCACAATATGATTTAACCTATTATAAATAATAAAAAAAAATTATTACGATGAAAACATACAGTATATATTTTGGATTAAATAAAAGTCAATTCAGTACCTTATCATAAAATTCTTTGGTAATAATTGGTAAATCATACAAACAACTGAAAATAATAACTTTTTCATTCTCGGATTTCCTTACATAATCCTTTTTGTGATGACAATAATATAATGGACCATCTTTCCATATTGCCGAATATAAAACATTATTTATTTCTTTAATATCATTCAATTGATTGTATGGTATCCATTCAAATATTATATCATTTGGTTCACGAATATCTTGATTTTTTTCTTGAATTAAATCATCAATGATTTCATTTCCGCTCGTCCAATTTGTGAAATTTTTCTTAAAATTATCTATTTGACATGGTTTACACCATCCATCTTCCACACGTGCGTATCTGTCGCCACATTTTACACAATCTATATCAATTTGTGACATTTTTTATTATTTTTTAAAAAAAGAGGCGAGGGCGAAACGATGAAACGGTTGAAACGCACAAATTTAATGTCAATTTTCACTACATATTTATTTAGTTTGACAGTGGTCGTACTGTATTAATCTGATCATCATAATATTCACGTGACAGACGTGACACGCAAACGTTAAATGATTGATCAACGACAAGAACTATTTTTCTGAAATAATGAATATAATCAATTTTTATTCTAATATTTTTACTAACTTTACAGAAACTTCAAGATCGTAGCGATGGCTTAATGCGCAGTAACTGCGTTATAAATACATAGTGACCACATTATGTAATCGTAAAGAAATTACATATATGCAGTTACTGCAGCATTAAGCCATCGCTACGATCTTTGAAGTTTCTGTAAAGAATTTATTTTTGAAAACGGGATTAACCATTAGAAATTATTTTAATAAGTAATAAAGAGAGAAACCTATTTTTATTTTAAATATCTTTCAAACAATAAAATATTAATATACAGTATATCCGGATTTTCAGAAAATTCATGATATTTTTTTATTTCATGGTTAAATATTATTTATATTAACATAAGATTGAGTTAAAATTATATACAGTAATTAGATAATAATTATAGGTAATTATATAATATATTTGGTATGAATAACCCAAAAAATTAGCCCTCGTTTATTTATCTAATTTTATGACCTTGAAAAATAAACAAATTATAATTTAATTCAAAAAAAGTCTCACTAATTTTCTTAATAATTATTTATTTTGATTTTTATAAATCAAGAAAATTCATATACGATAAAAATTGAAATGATCGGCAAATAATCAGCTGAATTTAAATGACCGGCCCACATTAGGTTTACAATGGCTGATCAGCAGTATGCATTAATTATTGTTCTTACTTTATATAACATTTGTATAAAAAAATATTTTTTTTTCGTTTTACTATTGCAAATTCTTTTTTCAACTTTACCATTAATATGTTTAATTTGTAATTTGAAAAAGTTCACAATGGATTTCTTTGCTAAAAGTATCAAAAAACTGATTAAGTCATGTGATTGTGATGGTGAATGTAATGTAAAACGGTTTAAACAAAATTTTAAAAATTGGACTAGTGGTGATAATTATATTGATAAATATATTCAAGATTCTCAGTTATCAGATCATAGTGATTATACATGCCAAGCAATAGAATGGATACCTTACAATAGATTGTATGATATTAAATATTTTTCAGAAGATAAGTTTTGTAAAGTATATAGAGCAAAATGGACTGATGGATACATAGACACATGGGATAATGAAAATCAAGATTGGAAAAGAAAAGGCCAAAATAAGTTTGTAATTCTTAAAAGCTTAAATAGTCCAGCAGATGTTGAATCAGAATTCATGAATGAGGTAAATTAATTTATTGGGTAATTAAATTTTTGAAATCTAATTTCACTAATATAATTTATTTGTAGGTTTGTAAAACCCATGAATTTTATGGAATAACTCAAGATTTGGCGACTAAGAATTATATGGTAGTATTGGATGATGAATGTGAAAAATGTAAATATGTATGTTGCAAAATGCATTTTTTGAAAAACTTCCAAAATTGGACTAGTGGTAATGAAGATGTTGATAAATTTATTCAAGATATTCAATTATCAATGCATGGTAATCATTATGGAATATTCGGGAAAGCAATAGAATGGATACCTTACAATAAATTTTATGATATTGAATACATTACAAAAGATGTATATAGAGCGAAATGGATTGATGGATATATAATTGAATGGGATTATAAACATCAAAATTGGAAAAGAGAAGGCCAAAATATATTTATAATTCTTAAAAGCTTGAATAATCCAGCAGATGTTGCACTAGAATTTAGAGATGGGGTAAATTAATTTGTTAATAATATTTCAAAAATTTTAATTTTCACTAATATAATAATGTATTTGTAGGTTAAAATAAATCATAGATTTTATGGAATAACTCAGGACCCAGAAACTAAGAATTATATAAAGGTTTTGAGTGATATATGTGAAAAATGTAAATATGTATGCAGTACAATACATTTTCAGCGAAACTTCAAAAATTGGACTAGTGGTAATGAAGATGTTGATAAATTTATTAAAGATTCTCAATTATCAACACATGTTAGCAATTATGAAGTATTTGAGAGAGCAATAGAATGGATACCTTACAACAGATTTTATAATATTGAATATATTACGAAAAATGTATATAGAGCCAAATGGATTGATGGATATATGAATAAATGGGATTATGCACATCAAAATTGGAAAAGAGAAGGCCAAAATATATTTGTAATCCTTAAAAGCTTGAATAATCCAGCAGATATTGCACTAGAATTTAGAGATGGGGTAAATTAATTTTATTAATAATATTTTCAAAATTTTAGATTTCACTAACTAAATACAATTGATGCAATTGTAGGTCCATGAATTTTATGGAATAACTTATGATTCAAAAACCAAGAATTATATGAAGGTCTTGAATGATATATGTGAAAAATGTAAATATGCATGTAATATAATACATTTTCAACATAACTTCGAAAATTGGACTAGTGGTAATGAATACATTGATATATTTATTCAAGATGCTCAGTTATCAGCACATGGTAATTGTGAAGTATTCAGAAAAGCAATAGAATGGATACCTTACAATAAATTTTATGATATTGAATATATTACAAAAGATGGATTTGACAAAGTATATGAAGCAAAATGGATTGATGGATATATAAATGAATGGGATTGTGTACATCAAAATTGGAAAAGAAAAGATCAAAATATATTTGTAATTCTTAAAAGCTTGAATAATCCAGCAGAAGTTGCATTAGAATTTAGCAGAGATGTGGTAAATTAATTTGTTAATAATATTTAAAAAATTTTAATTTTCACTAATATAACAATGTATTTGTAGGTTAAAACAAACCATGAATTTTATGGAATAACTCAAGATTCAAAAACCAAGAATTATATGAAGGTTTTGAATGCTATATGTGAAAAATGTAAATATATGTGTAGTGTAATATATTTTCAGCATAACTTTAAAAATTGGACTAGTGATAATGAAAAAATTGATAAATTTATTCAAGATGCTCAGTTATTAACACATGATAATTATAAAGCAATAGAATGGATACCTTACAATAAATTTTATAATATTGATTATATTACAAAAGATGTATATAGAGCGAAATGGATTGATGGAAATATAATTGAATGGGATTATAAGCATCAAAATTGGAAAAGAGAAGGCCAAAATATATTTGTAATTCTTAAAAGCTTGAATAATCCAGCGGATGTTACGTTGGAATTTAGTATAGATGAGGTAAATTAATTTATTAATAATATTTTCAAAATTTTAATTTTTATTAATATAATGTATTTTGCAGGTTGAAATAGACCATGAATTTTATGGAATAACTCAAGATCCAAAGACCAAGAATTATATGAAGGTCTTGAATGATATATGCGAAAAATGTAAATATGCATGTAATATAATACATTTTCAACAAAACTTCAAAAATTGGACTAGTGGTAATGAAGACATTGATAAATTTATTCAAAATGCTCAGTTATCAGCACATCATAGTGATTATGATGTATTAAAAAAAGCAATGGAATGGATACCTTACAATAAATTTTATGATATTGAATATATTGCAAAAGATGAGTTTGACAAAGTGTATAGAGCAAAATGGATCGATGGATATATAAATAAATGGGATCATGAACATCAAAATTGGAAAAGAAAAGGCCAAAATATGTTTGTAATTCTTAAAAGCTTGAATAATTCAGCAGATGTTACAATGGATTTTATAAATAGGGTAGATTAGTTTATTGGTTATTAACAATATTTTCATGTTTTAATTTTCACTAATATAATTCATGTATTTGTAGGTTAAAATAAACCATGAATTTTATGGAATAACTCAAGATTCAGGAACCAAGAATTATATGATAGTTTTGGATAATACATGTATAAAATGTAAATATGCATGTAGCATGATACATTTTCAGCAAAACTTCAAAAATTGGACTAGGTGTAATGAAGATGTTGATAAATTTATTCAAGATGCTCAGTTATCAGCACATGATAATTATGATGTATTTAGGAAAGCAATAGAATGGATACCTTTTAATAGATTTTATGATATTGAATATATTACAGAAGATGAGTCTAACAAACTATATAGAGCAAAATGGATTGATGGATACATAAATGAATGGGATTATGAATATCAAAATTGGAAGAGAAAAGGCCAAAATATGGTTGTAATTCTTAAAAGTTTGAATAATCCAGCAGATGCTACTTTAGAATTTATGGATGAGGTAAATTAATTAATATTTGATAAAAATTTGAATATTCTTTTTTTGTATTTAAAGTTATTTATTTGTAGATCATTACAGTACCCCATGAAGTTTATGGAATAACTCAAAATTTAAAAACTAAGAATTATATGGTGGTTTGGAATGAAATATGTGGAAAATGTAATAGCATATGTACTGCAAGCCGATTTAAACTAAATTTTGAAAGTTGGACTAGTAGTAATAATGAAGTTGATAAATTTATTCAAGATGCCCAGTTATCAACACATGATAATTATGAAGTATTTAAGAAAACATTAGAATGGATACCTTATAATAGATTTTATGATATAAAATATATTGCAAAAGGCGGATTTGGTAAAGTATATAAAGCAAAATGGATTGATGGATACATAGATGAATGGGATAATAAGCATCAGAATTGGAAAAGAAAAGATCAAAGTATGTTTGTAGCTTTAAAAAGCTTAAATAATTCAAAAAGTGTTACATTGGAATTTATGAATGAGGTGAATTATTTTACTACTTGATGAAAATTTGGAAGCTTTTAATTATTAGTACTAATACTTATTTAATATACAGATTATCTTACATTACAAATTAAACTTGCAAAAACGTATCATTAAACTTTATGGAGTAACTCAAGAACCAGAAACAAAAAATTATGTCATGGTTTTAGATTATGCAGAAAATGGAAGTTTGCGAAATTATTTAAATACAAATTATGATAAATTAAGTTGGAGTGATAAAATTAATTATTTACATAGCATTGCACATGGACTTAAAGATATTCACGAAGAAGGATTAATTCATCGAGATTTACATATTGGTAACATATTAAGGCTCAAAAAAATGACGTGTATAACTGATATGGGATTATGCAAACCTGCAGATTATAATACATCAGAAAATCATAAAAATAAAATATTTGGCGTTTTACCTTATATTGCTCCTGAAATCTTACGAGGCCAAAATTATACCAAAGCTTCAGATATTTACAGTTTTGGTATAATTATGTATGAGGTAATTTCTGGATCACCTCCATATCATGTTATAAGCCATAATAATAATTTAGCAATAAGAATTTGTCAAGGACTTAGACCAAGGTTTAATATTAAAGTGCCTCGAGTAATTGTAAATTTAATTAAAAGATGCTTGGATGCAAATCAATTAAAAAGGCCAAAAGCGGAGGAAATTAAAAAATTTTTAAGCCAGTGGCTTAGAGAATTAAATGAATTGCAAAATATTAGTGAATTTGGTAATTATACAGAAATCCAAAAACAAATTGATGAAGCAGAAATAATCAATAATAGAACATTGGAAAATGCAATTTCAACCAATTTAGGAATATCATCTAAAACACATTCAGAAGCTATTTATACCAGTAGACTGCTTAACTTTAATAATCTTCCTGAGCCAAAAAATACTGATGATTATTATAAAGAGAATGATAATATAATTAGCATGAAATCTTCAGGTATTGATTAATATAAAAATTTCTTATTATTTATTATTTATAAAATACTAATTAATTCCTTAATTAGAATCCTTATTAATTGATATCTCTCAATTAAAAATCAATGACAATAATCTTCCTGAGCCAAAATATTCTGATGACTATTATAAAGAGAATGTTAATATAATTAATATGGAATCTCCAGGTATTGATTAATGCAAAATAATTTCCAATTAATTAAATTAATTATAAAATAAGATTTTATCTTTAAATAAAATCCTTACTGAATGATATTTTTCAATTGAAAATCAATAATAATAATCTTTCTGGACCGAAACATCCTGATGCATGATTATTATGAAAAAATGATAATATTATTAGTATAAATCTTTCAGGTATTGATTAATGAAAAATATTCAAATTAATTGTATAAAAAATACTAAATTTTTTTTGGATTCATTGAATAGTATCCTTGCAAATTGATATTTCTCAATTGTCTGGTAAGCAAGCATCTTATACTTATAATAAACTTTTTTTTACCTATATTTGATATGTTTACTTTATAAATTTTTTTTTAGATCACAATAGGCGAAGATAAATCTAGGATTAGAATATAATTAAGCAATTTCTATTATTATTTCTTTTTTGAAATTTTTTTTGCTATTACAATTAAAAATTCTAATTGACATTAATTTTTGTAGAACGGTTTAAAAAAATTGTTTACAAATTATGTTTTAACTCAATTTTTAAAATGTGAATGATGTTTTTTTGTTTTTTATTAGTTAGTTGAATTGTTATTTTTATTTATATTTTATTTATTTAATAAATTATAAGGTCATAGTGAGGAATAGAAGTAGGAGTAGGTTAGATAAAATTTTAAATTGTCTTATTGCTTAGTAATTTATTAATATCTGGCACTAAATTGTATTGACTGAAATATGGAATAAAATTTCCGTAGTTATTAATACTGGCAACAATTTTTAATTTATCATTGCCGCCAACTGATTTTCGTATCTGAAATTATTTAAAAATCGGCCAAATTTATTTCTAACTAATTGGCTGATTAGTTAGTACTAATATAGTCGCATTTAAGTCTTCAGTACTTGAGACTAGTTTTATTATATTATTGCAAATTTGTTTTATATTTCATATCTATTTAGAAAATTCTTTATTAATTTCTTTGTATATTTCACTATTCTTGTTAGTTTCTCTTCCAATGTAATTATTTCAACATTTCTTATTTTCCAAGAAAATTATTATTGCATTGTCTATATTTAATATCTTTGTTTGTTCATTTATTTTATATATTCAATTTATTAATTAAGTGAAATCTTTTAAAATTAAACGATCAAAACCTTATTTAAAAGAATTAAACTGTATTGTAATATGGAACAATTTTCCATAGTTACTAATAATACTAACAATTATTTTTAATTTAGCATTTCCGCCTGCTGATTTCATAATTAGAATTTCTAAAAATCGAAGTCCTAGTTCAGCTCAATTCAGCCTAAAGCCCTAAACTGGTCATACTATTTCTGACAGAATTTGGGTAGTTCGACTACTTGATTAATTAGTACCAATACAATCGGCCTTCAGAGTATTCGGTATTTGAACTACTAGTTTTATTTTACATTGCAAATTTGTTTTATGAATGCTATATGATTTTGGCCTTTTTACCTGCCTAGCTGCCTATATATCTATTTAATGATATTTTATCTTATTGCTTGTTTATACACTTAATTACATTTCATTGCTCCCATTTTATTATTTAAGATTTCATATATTTATTCTTGCTAAATTCCAAAATTTCATATACACACATGGAAGTTATCAGATATTAGTATATGATTATCCCTTTAACTTACGATTACAATCAAACATATTATTTGTAATGGATTTCTTTCAAATTATTAACATGATTTTTTATGACGCATATTTTTTAATAATAGATAATCATAATTTCCGGGTATAAACTTACATAAATTTTATTATATGGGTCTATTTGATCAATTTAAAAATTTATACCAAAAAAAAAATTATTTTTTTTATGATCATCGGCGGCTGCAGGATAAATGGATAATACAGTTTTATCTTATCATTATTGACGATTTAGTGCGCCAACTAACTAATTTGTTGTATTTAAGACTAGTAGGCGAGAGAAAGGCTTATGGGGGTTAAAATATCATCCGAACTTCAGTGATCATATTCTAATCCCATCAAATAACTAATACTTATTTTTCTATTATGCTTACAGCAACATTATTTCTTATTTTCAATTATTAGGTAATATTATATTTTAAGTAAATATTGTAGTTTAAATTTTTAGTATCGACTGAAAAAATATTACTGAGCCAATAATTATTTACTTTACAATAACGTTAACGTTAAAAAATTACAAAATTTAATTAATAGAAGAAAATATTATTATCTGAACATTATGAAATTTTTTTTTTTCTAAAAAAAAAAATAATATTAAAATAGGACCCAGAAATACATATAGAGGTTAAGTGGCGAAAATTTTTTTTACTATGAGCTGCACGCAGACTTTTTATATGAGTAGCACACATAATTGACACCTGCTATTAAAAATCCGCAAAACATTTAAGTTCATATTAATTATTTAATCATGGCTTCTATATTATAATGTGTAAATTAAAATTTATCCTATTTTACCATTTTTACAATAATATTTTTCAAAACAGTCAAAACTCAAAATTTCACTTTTCGACCCTTATTAGAAATTTCCTTCAATTAATACTAAATACTACAATGCGAAATATCTCGTATAACTTAATTTTTGTAAGAATATATGAAGTATAGCTTATACCAAGGATAACTTGCACGAATCGAAGAAATAGTAGTATATATAGAAGAGAGAACGAAGGAAGATTCTTAGTTTTAGTTTTTTAGTCTCTATTGGAATATTTCAGATCTCCGGCGGAGGGCAGCAATATTTTTCTTTTATCATTGTTTATTAGAATTTATTATACACATTTGTTGTTATATATTGTTAATGTTTACTTTAAATAAAGTACACACCTTAAATTTGCATATATATTCGTTCTATACTTTTGTTTTGCGCTCTAAATTATAAAATATTTTAGAAAAATGATGGTAATAAAATAATAAAATCTTATTTTCCGGTAAAACTATTTATATATATATATATATATATAAAGTATCGAATGTTCTAAAAGTTTTGGAGTCACGTAATTTTCAATTTCGCCAATAATTAATTAAGCAGCCTGTTAAGTATTTACAATACGAATTTGATATTTAAAATTTTGGTCAAAAAATATTAAAATACTAATAGACAACTAAAAATTTTTGAGAATAAAATAGTATACAATATGATGATGTATATATTTTATAGTTCAAATTTTATTTTTCTTTGATCAAATAAAGTCACGTCGCTACATTGTATAATAAAAATAAAAAATTTATAAAGAAATTTCTAAAAATAATATAATAATAAAAGTACTGAAATCAAAAAGAAATTTTCATAAGAAAATGAAATAATATATAATAAAAAGAAATACTAAAATTTTTTGAACAATATACTAATTTAATATTCATCACGCGTGCGATGTCATCGCTACCATTTGTCACCTGTGACCTCTCTAATTTGACTGGCATTGCGTAATTTTTCCAAGAGGCGATGCATCGCTATGGGCGATAAATAAATTTACTATTTAAAATTTATTCATCGAGATCTATTTTTTTTTAAAAAAAATAATAATAATTAAATTAAATTAACAATTTTATATATTTAAAAAACAGATGTTTTACCTAATTCATTTAATTCACAATCCAAACGTTCAGAAACTATTAATAAAATGAAAATAAATATTATAATAATAATCACAATAATCTTTAATAATGCAAATATATACTTACTTAGATTTGTTGATGACGATGAAATGGGTTCTATTAAGAGGAAAAAGAAATAATAAATAATTGATAAATTATATTCTCATTAAATTTTTTAATACAAATTTACCTTGAAACGAAGATAAATAATTGGTTGAATTAACTGGTTCTGGAAGATTTTCAAATTTTAAAAGTCTGCTAGTATAAATTGCTTGTGGATGTATTTGAGGATTTTTAGATTTATTTTCATTTGTTCTGTTTTTTGATTTATTCTCTCTAATTTTTTCTCATTCTTTTATTTGAGAATAAATTTTGCTACCTTCATCATCAACGTCGTCTAAATATTTTTCCAATATTTGACGTAATTCTTTAGTAGTTGGTCTATTTTCTGCTTTAGCATCCCAACATTTAATAATCAAATCTACAATTAATTTTGGTGTATCTTCAGAAATCTTTGGTCTAAATCCTTTACATATTTTAACAACCAAAAATTGATCATGAGGAATATCATTATAAGGAATTCTTTCTGACATAAGTTCATTCATTATTATTCCAAATGAGTAAATATCTGCTGCTTTTGTATATTGATATCCACGTAAAACTTCGGTGCCATATAAGGTATTACTCCACAAATTCCTTTTCGCTCATTATCATTTACTGGTTGACACATTCCCAAATCACTAATTGATAGTATATCATTATAATTATTATATAATATATTGCCCGAATGAAAATCTTTATGAATATTTCCAGCATCATGAATACCTGAAAGTCCATCTATAATAAAATAAATATTCTATTTTAGTTTTAAGTTTTAAACCTTCCACTAAAGTATTTCTCAAATTTCCTCCCTCAAAATATTGTAAAACCATTATATAATCTTTAGTATTTGGATCTTGAGTTATTCCAAAACATATAACAGTATTACAAGCAGGAAAATGACCTGAAATATAATATTTAATCTAAAATCATAAATTTTGTTAATAAATTACGTATTAAAATACAAATATTAATAAGCAAGATTTATTTTAATTACCTCATTTAAAAAATCATTACTTATATTAGATGAATTATTTAAACTTTTCAATGCAACTTTTCTTGATCCTCGGATCCATTTTTGATTTTCAATATCCCAATGCCCAATATTTCCTTCGGGCCAGTAAGCCGAATAAATTTTACTAAAACCACCTCTAGTAAGATAGGTAACATTTTCAAATTTTTCAAAAGGTATCCATTCAAGAAATTTTGTACAAAAAAAAGCATTAAGTTGTGATTGTTGTATTAATTCATCAATATTTTTATTTCCACTAGTCCAATTTTTAAAATTTTCCTCAAATCTTTTAGCATTACAAGGTTGACACCAAAGATATCCTGTACCTGGTTCATTACATTCTCCACATAATCCGTATACTTCTTTTCTTTTTTCTAAATCCATAATATTTACTCTTTTAAGTAGTAAGGAAGTAGTTTCATCTGATTCAGTAGTTGAATCAGCTGAAAAAATTGTAGCGTTGTACTATCAAAATGAAAGATTAAAAAATTTTAATAATTATCTCTATATTGTTCGTTATTTATATTATAATATTTTTACCTGATATTCTGCATTATCAATTTCTTTCCATAAATTTTTAGCATCAGTTTTAGTTGTATCTAAATTTTGGTTTGAAATATCCATTTTATTAATATTTTCCAAGTAAAAATATAACACTGATAATTTAGCGAATATATTCAGTTGTAAATTTTTAATAATATTAAAATTATTTTTTAAAAAAAAAGTAATTCGAATTTGGACGTTACGACGTTACGGTCATTACGTTAAATCTCATTTGTCATTAATTGCAAATCTTCCCTAATTGATATTTAGAATTTTGTGTTAATGTTATGACCTCATGACTAAAGGTTCCTTTTTTAAAGTTTCAAAAGTTTCAAGAAAAAAAATTTTTTTCTCTGGTATAGAAATTTGTTATTATTAAATTAAAATTAAAATGACACTAAATTTTGATTCTTTATTTGACTTATTTATGCGGATTTTTTATAAAAACTTTTATAAATTTAAAAATTGAATTTTGATTGGTTATGTCACATGATTGCTGATCATTTGTGTGATTTGTTTCGTCATTAATTCTGAAAGCCACTAAAATAATATGTAAAATTAACAAATAATGAAATTTAAAAATACTCAATATAACACTATAAGATGTTTGTAATAAGTATGTCAAAAGCATCAAAGAATATTTGCGGACAATATTCCAAAAAGCTTTCAAACCATTTCACCGCTTCAGTGATACCAATCTTTAATTACACAATAGTGATGCAGGTTTTACCGAAACTATGTTTAAAATTAAAATTAATTTTTGTATACAATACGCAATTGATATGTAGAAATTTTAAATGAAAGTCTCTTTATAATGAAATTAAATTTTTATTGCTAAATTTATCATTACGAAAAGAGTCTACTGTATGTATATCTTGTTGATTTAACATAAAGTCCTACAAAAAAAAATAATGAAAGAAACGTTAGTTCGTTTTTTAAAAATAAAAAAATATGTCACCTTTCTGTTTCTTACCTTAAAGTCTGGTTCGTTCTGGCTGGCAATTCCTACAAAAGAAAAAAAAACATTAGTAAAACGTTTCTATAAAGTTGATTTTCTAAAAAAAACCTCACTTTCCAAAGCCAAAATAAAGTAAAAAAGAACCTACAAAATAAAAAAATAAAAAATGAAAAATTAATAACATTTTGTTGTATATATGTTATATAAAAAGAATTTTTTTTTTAAAAAAAATCAAACTAAAAAATAAAAAAAAAAGATTATCATTCGGAATACAAACCATAATTGACTAGTCTGATCAGGCAAGTTTTCTGTAAAAAGTAAACATGTATTAATGGTGAAAAGTATTAATAGAATGTTGAAATATTTGGTGCAAAAAAAAAAAAATTAATCTCGATCTTTAATTTCCTATTATTTTAACTGAAAAATAAGATAACTGATAATACTACCACCATTTTTCGTCGCATTCTTGTGATAGTAACAAGATAATTTATAGTTTAGAGTGTAAAACAAAGTGTAGAACGATATATATAATTTCTAGACACTTCTAGACCATAGACTCTAAGAATGAACTTCTACCTCGATCCCATAATTCTACAATACTCCTGTTAATTCTTGCTTCAAAACCAAATAAGGTGAATCTATGATGATGTGAGTATGATCTTTGAGAGGTTCTCCCCAGAATCCATCTAATTCTTCTGCTGTGAATTTTGTCAAGTTATTACTCTCAGCAAGAACGAGTTTTGTAATAGAAAAAATTTATTATGCTATTAATTTGCTTAAAAAAAAAATAATAATAAAATGTAAAATAAAGTTATTATTAAAGACAAGTGTTTATCGTATCCACAAGATCGGATCGGTTTCCAAAAATCAATATTTTTTTATCCTTATTAAAAAATCAATATACATTTTTTAGTCAAAAAATGATTTGTGAGAATGATAGTTTACGGTTATGCGCTGTAAATGAATAATAACATACAAATAAATAAATAAAATACAATCTAAACATATTTCATTAAAAATTAAAAAGTGATATCAATTTATTAATTATTTGAGCACTATATTATGTAAAATATAATAATACTATGAAGAACTGTGCATGTAAGTTACAAAACTATATCCAAGTAACCTATAAGATATCTCGTACATAGTAAAAATATCTCCGCACAAAATAATATTTGATTACAATTAAGCTTAGTCAAACATAATAAGGAAACAAAGAACTTCTTGCTTCAAAAAGAAATGTAGATTTGTAACATATTCTTAATTCATTTTTTAATAATTGTATCCATAATGTCTGTTTAATCATATCAAACCCAAATCTTTTTCACTGGTTTGTTGCTCACTTTCTTGATCTTCATTTTCTTTAGATTCTTCAATTAATAATTCATCTTCATCATATTTCTAAAGTGCAAAAATTAAACTAAGATAAAAAATCTATAACACAATAAATAAAAATAAAAACATACCTGCGAGATAATTTTTTCAACAAATTCTATGTCCAAAGTAAAACCTGGTAAAATATTACCACCGTCTAAATCTTCCCATTTACGTTTCTGACGGGTAACATTTTCATCATCATCCTTTTCATAAGTCCAGATCATGTGATTCCTTGGATCAATTAACCATCCCAACTTTACAGAAGTACCTGTTGCAAAGTAATCATTCTTGAATCTAATATCAACTTCATTTAATATTGCTTCCTTTGAAACATTTACAACCTCAGTAACAAATATGGGAGTAAAAGGTTGGCCAAATAAAGTCAAAAGCTGATTTTTACTAAGTGAGTTATAAATATTTTCGGGTATAAAAGCAATATGTGGTGCCCGAATCTTCCTCTGGCCTTTAACACTAAAATTATAACCTCCTTGAGATGTGGTAACAATACCATTTTGACCAGTTTCAACGTTCCAGTTACCAAGTTGTCTAGAAATTTCATGTACAACAGCCTCATTAGCAATTGGAGATTGTGGAATAGGAAGTAGCCTTCCATTTTCAAAGTTAATACGAGTTTTAAGATGATTGTTTATGTATTCAATCTCTTCTGGGGTGTAAATATGGGTAAGATCCAAATTTTTTAAATCTAGTGAAAAAGAAATTTATTGGATAGTAAATATTTTTATATTTGCAAAGTTCAAAATGGTTTCTTCACAATTAATAAAAGCACTCTACCGATTTCCTTTTTTGGTGGCATGATTTAAGAAAGTTACTAAGAAAATCTTTTATATTATATAAAAAAAATCTTGAAAAAAAATCTTGACAAAATAGAAAAAATAATGCGAGAAAGAAAAAATGTATAAGGAAAGCTATTTATAAGAAAAGCTATTTATATAAAATTTTTCTAATGTTTATATATTTTTTAATTTGACACATTTTTGGTTAATAATTACTATGATAAATTATGACGTAATAGTCTAATTTATAATGATGACACTCTGAAACATAATAAGATATATAAATCACATGAAACCACATTCCAAATAATATATATAAAAATTATATACAATTCTTGTCTAAAATTATTGTTTGAATCATTTATTATATTAACATTTTCTTTTGTGACATTATATCTTTTAAGGTAGTTTAAAATTCAAGTTTAATGAAAGAATTACAAAAAAATATTATTTGAAGTTTTTAATCAATTATTTGTTTCATAATATTATTGATTATAAAGTCAAAGGTCATGAAGTAATAATATTGACAAACATTAAATAAAATATAGTGATTTATGGAATAAATATTGTAATTAAACATATAACTTTGTTTTTTATATACTTATCCCAATAAATTTTGTTATAGAAAAATATTATTTGTGAGAAATTAGTTAAAATTACGCTTTATAAATTCAGAACGATAACATAAATGACACTTATTCTGCTACATCTCTTACTAAAATTCATGCTTAATTATGAAATTTGCAAATTATTATAAAGTAATATATATAATATAGATTAGTTTGGAGGAAATAATAAGAAATTTTGTTATCGTATTCATTCTATTAATTGTATTCCCATTATAAGAATGGACTGAAATTCAATTTGAGGTAATATTTAGTAAGTAAATTAAGGGTGATGGTAATTTCGACGACACCTATATCGATAATTCTGTAATTTAAAAGCATTGCTTACTATTAATATTTATTGTTTTTTTTTTTTTTTTTGAAAAAATAAATTTTATTGAATGCTCGAATCTAAACTTAGCTACTACCATCGAAATGTTAATTTTTTTTCTTATTATAATAATAGAACAACATTAAAAAATTTGAATAATTTAAATGGTATATTAATTCATTAAATCAATATAGTACGGTATTTATACATTTATTAAAATTATCTAAATTACAAACTAAGAATTTTGTAAAACATTTACTACTCTAGTCTTAGTGTTTATATAATCCATGATAAATAAATAAGTGATAATAATTTAAGATATAAAAAAAAAAAATATTGTTAATTTGATTTATTAAAGGACAATTTAAAAAATCCATCCAAAGATAAAAAATAGATTAATTATAGATTAATTATTCGCTTTATAAAGAAATTTATCATTTCTACTTTATTTTAAGAGCTTACCGTCAGGAATCTCCAGTTTATCTTGTTCTTTTGAATGAAAGTTTGGATTATTATATACTTCGTCATCATCTGTAATAGATAAGTAAATAGAATTAAAACAGTATTAAAATCGTTTGTTATTACGTAAAATTTTCACCTACTATCAACATATTTTTGAGTTTTTTCTTTTTCGTCATCTAAATTTTAAATAAAAGTCGCGTTTAATAAATTAAATTGATATAGTAACTTTGTTTGTTAGTAATTTACTTACTATTTGAATTTATTTGCAACTTTTTAAATGATTTAGATAATTTTTTATTACTATCTAAAATTAAGATGTAGATTTAATATATAGATCAATCTCGATTTGACAATATTTAAAATAGATTACCTTTAAAAATAGTAATTATTTTTGATGATTTGCTACTATTCTGCTCATTTGATTTATTAAAGTCATTAACTAAAATAAAAAATTAATTATTAAACATCATTATATGATAATTAAACGCTATAATGTTATTAAATACTTACTATTATTAGGAATGTTAAAATCATACAATTTACTATGAAACACTATTAGCAGTAAAATAAATTATTTAAAATTAAATTATTATAGTAACCAAAAATGGTCAAAATCATTATTTATACAGTTATACCTTCTTGTTCTTCTATTATGATAAAAAGATAACATTAATAATGTATTTTAAAATAAATATATTCATTAATAAAATATTATACACTTATACCTTCTGTTGCATTTTTTGGTTCAGGTAAATTTCCAAAGTTGTGAATTTTACTTGTAAATAAACTGCTATTCATATAATTTTTTTCCACTTTATTTATTTCTAAATTATCCATTTCTGATTTGAATAATTCATCTGACATATTTTGATAATCTAAATTAATTTTTTCCATTTTTTTCATAAGTGCATAAGCGTCAGGTCTTTTTAATGGATCAGCATCCCAACATTCTTTTATTAAATTTTTATATTCTAATGGAGTTCCTGGCACAATTTTTGGCCTTATACCGTTAATAATATTCATTACAATATCATTTTCATGTTCATAATTTATAAATGGTGGTTGTCCAGATGAAATTTCCCACATAAGAATTGCAATACTATAAATATCAGATGCAAAAGTATATTCTCTTCCAACAATAACTTCGGGTGCTATGTAAGGAAGATTTCCATATATACTTGTTGAAGATTTATCAGCAGGTCCACAAAATCCAAGATCACTAATATACCAGTAATCATTAAGTTGTGAATATAATATATTTCCAGAATGTAAATCTCTATGAATTGCTTTCTCAAGATGAATATAATAAAGTGCAAGAGTTATTTCATCAATAATTTTCATTCTAGCTTTCCATGTAAGTTGATTATGTTTTTGTTGTAAATATTTTCTTAAATCTATATCCATTTTTATCATTACAAGCATATAATTTCCATTTGATGGATTTTGCGTTAAACCAAAACATCGAACAACCTCCGCCCTTCTATTACTTATAGTTAAATGTGATTTAGCCTAAAAGACAATAATTTGTAAAATACTAGTGCTAATACAAAAATTACAACAATTTTATAAAATATAGAATACAATAATACAAACCTCTTCAAACCAACTTTGATTTGCACTTTCAACATTTTCTAATTTTTTTAATATTACTTGGAGATTTTCAAATCTTGTTAATTGTTTTTTTTCAGAATCCCATTCATTATATGTTCCATCAATCCAACGTGCTATATAAATTTCAGAAAATCCACCTTTTGTTAAATATTTAATATTTTCTAAATTACTATGTGGTATCCATTCAACTATTACATTTGGTCTAGTTGTTTCCAATTGGCATTTCTGTATTAAATTATCAATAACATCATTTCCAGATGTCCAATTTGAAAAATCTTTTTTTAAATAATTTCGAACACAATATTCACAATATAATGTGGCTAAACATTCTTTCTTACAATTTTCACAAATATTTTTAGTTAATAATCTTATTGCATAAGTTTTTTCATCATTTGTAAGAATTTTATCAGCAAGGACTATTTGTTTTCGAAATTCAAATTGTTTGTGTATATCATTGTAAATATTAGTATCTGTTAATGCTGTTGCTCTATTAGTTGTTGCATTAATTAATTCATATCAAAGAGTGGACATAATGTAATCAATAAGAATGAATGAATGAATGAATTATTTTAAGTTCATTCACTTGATAAATTAGTAAAATGCAAATTGTTGATCAAATTTCATGTCCCACATAAATTGTGTGACCTTGAAGCGCAATATTTTACGCCTCATAACCAAAAAAAGAAAAATATTACCATTTACATATTTAGTATGATCACGTTTTTTTATTATAATTTGTGTTTAACAAATTTGATTATCATATTTAATGAATAGATAGTATCCTTATAAATATTCAAATAATTTTGATAAACAAAAATCAATGATTGTTATTCAGTGGACTATTAATTTGTAATATCTTATTACAGTTTTGAAGCGAACTTGCTTTGAAACTTACCCTTTCAGTTCCTCGTTTTCCAAAGTGAAAACACCGAAAATTCTACAAAAAAAAGAAAGGAAACATTGGAAATGTTTTCTTACAAAAAAGAATTTAAATAAAAAAAAAATTATTAAAAGTATATTTATTTTAGCGTAATAGGTATGTCATGGGTTTTCATGTTACACAATCCAAATTATTTATATGGAGACTATTCTAAAGTCTAAACGTCAGACATATTTTTTTGTTATATAGATAGTTTAAAAAAAATTTACAAAAGTAAAATAACAGATATGATAAAAAAAAAAAAAAAATACGAAATATATTAATGAAGTAATTATATCCCAATAATTTACTTGGTTTTTGCAATCAAAGCATTTGAGAAAAATTTGGAGGGGTTAGAAAACCTTGTAAAAGCGATGTGAATAAAATGTTTGATATTTCTGATTCCGGTTTCCCAAACAGTTCGATTAATGCTAGTCCGGAGAAGTGATCACCAGCTCGGAAGAATTTGCTGAGCCATAAATTATGCGACAAAATAAATGATCACACGCCAGGTCTGTGCAACATATTATAATCGAAAAGAAAATATTCATACTAACCAGTAGCTTCATTTTTTCCCAAACAAACATGAGAAAAATGTGAAAGAGCGTCTAGTTGCAACACAGAACCTACCCATAAGTAAATGGTGACGACAAAAGCATATGTTATGAAAGGCTAGGGACTTCGCAATTTCGAGATCGCAAGGCAGGTAGATCTCCATGTGAAAAGGTTTGAAAATTCCACTTTCATGTGCTTTCATAGAGCTCTTGGCATCATATAACAATGCTAATCACTATTCTTAGGGGAAGAACTCAGCATGAGGCCTGAATACGAAGTAATAGGTATGAAAGTACAGGACGGGTTGACTTCGCAATCAAGGTAACCTTCTTACTGCAATTCGAAGTGATAAATAGTGCATTTTTTAATTCGCTCTTACGCTAACTTATTACCACTGATCTTCGGCCATGAACTATGTGAATGGACGAGTAGAAAGCCGAGAATCTTATTTGTGTCACTGAGGACAAACCAGAGTGAAATCTAATCGAGAGTTTGGTTCAGAATATCAAACAACTAGAGAGCTCATGCCAAACGAATATGAGAAAACGGAAGCGGAATGATGATGATGATTTCGATTACCTCTATGGTATTGTCACTACAGCTCGTGACTGGCACTTCCTGCTCTCCAGGGAAAATTTCACAAGGCAGTAAATTACCATTTAGCATCGAATTTCTGAAGATGCTTTGGATAAAGAATCCGTAGAATATCAAACATTACGTAATGGCGCGAAAAAGGTGTTGGGCGTAGTAGTAGGATTATTAAAGGATAGAGCATGTGCGGAAGACGATCCTCCTCAAAGAAAAAGGCTAGAATAGAGAAATATCGTTCGAAAAAAATAGGATGCATATTAGCATAGTCGTTGTATCACGGGCTAGTATAGCTCCCGACTCTTGTAATTTATTTTTTGCGTGAATTAATAAAAATATATTTTTTTCCTTGGCAAAAGTCGGCTCGAAATTCGGAGCACTAGTAATGAACTTTGCCTCCAGCAATGGCATCCAGAAAAACTATTTATCCGCATGAGATGCTAATCGCTGTGATTGCAAGGAGAATTAACGAAATGACGAAATGTGGTACGTAATGAATCGCTGTCATTTTCTCCTAAGAATCCAAGCGCTATAAAAACTTCTTCTGTGGGAATCTAGTCCGCATCACTTCTCGCATATTTTTTTGTATCAGATCATATCCTTAGAAAAAGTCTCGAAGATGCAACCGTTAGAGACATGGAAGTTCCGGAGCTGGGACCATGCTCGGTGTGTAATAACGAGATTTTAATGCTTCCTATCAAGGCGTTCACGGTACTTAGCTGTGGACATGTGTACCATAGACTTTTCATTGAGAAGAAACTTTTACACACTTCGACAGGTGTATGTCCATTCCCCGATTGTAGGCAGAATGTTGAGAAAATTGATGATGATTCTCCTGAAGTTGCTAATAGGCGAGATTCGCAGTCTAGTACATCATCCGTGGTTGGTAGAATGGAAAAGCAACTCCAAATCAATACTTCTGAAGTGATTCCGGAAGAGGAGGAGCCTGATCAAGAAATGGATGTAGATGAGGAAACAACTAAACCCAATGCAAGTAGTAAGAAGCGGGCTAATGTAGCTACTGACTCATCCCCTAGCAAGAAAACTAAGGAATTGTTCGACCGGAGGATTCCAATGTTTTAAAGAAGCTTATCCGGGAGTTATCTTCCGACACTACTCGACTTTCTGAAATTAAGGAAAAGAGGGGACTCCATAGAGAAGCTTTACAAGAAGTTGAGCGTGATCGAACTTTATTTAAAAATATCCAATGCTGAAGAGTGGAACAAAAAGGCACGCCATGAAGTTATTGTGGCATATTACTATTTCGGGGAGGAGCTAGAGAAACGCCTTGCCCACTATAGAAAGACATACGAGGACCATGAAAGCATCAAAAAAGCTCTATGACGAGGTTAAAGATCAGCTCCCAAAAGAAGTTACAAAAATCGCTGTCCGAAAGAAATCAGACAGGACAAGGAAGATTTATGATCTTTTTTTCCATATTAGTGATGATAAAATTCAAAAGGATGGTTCTAATCCAACGACTAAAAACAGTTTCAGCGACATCCATTTCAAAATTAAGCGATGATAATATCAAATATGTTGCAAAGTTGAGAAGAATACTAGACAAAATTAATTTCGAAAGATTTTTTCGGTCACATGATACCTGAATTCCTAGATCGGAACACGATGTCCTCTTCTAAAGTTTGGCACTTTTTTTATATGTAGTATTGTAAAACATGATTATCGTTACGCATATTAAATTAACTAATAAAGTTTTGCCCACATTGGGCCTAGTTTTTTTATCAACAACCGACGAAAATCCGTTAATTGTTCGCTATCCACTATCGGGTTCAGGCAGTAAGTAAACTGTTTTCCTATATTCCTTTCCCTATAATGCCTAACATTTATTTACCTTTTCCACAGTCGTGGCAACTCCATCTTGAATTCGGCAATAATCAATTTTAAGAATAAAATTTTCTTTTTTTTTTTAACAAACAAGTATTTCCTATAGTAGTATCTTTGTAATCTTGCACAATACAATTGTTTAGTTTTTTTTTCTGATAGATGGCCTAAATAACGTCATTTTGACTTTTTTTTTTTGATCAGTTATCGGTATTTCAATATTAGCAAATGCTGCGGCTTGTTGAACTTAATTATTTCTATATTATTAAAGTGTACTACGTATCAGATTCAATTTATAGTACGTTTTCACATAATTTTATTAATTCCTAAATTTGTATGTCATATATTAATTGAAATTCACTTATATTGATGTGATGCAAGATATTCTCTTTGGAAAAAAATGTTTTCAAAAGAAGAGGATTTTTAATCATTCGAAAAAAGTGCAATATTAACCAGACAAATAAATAGTCTGAAAAATCTGGAAAAATAATGAATAAAAATTCAAAAATCTTCTGAAAAATAAACTATTGAATAATCTTGTATATATATATAAAAAAAAAAATAACGGTATATTCAGTATATTTATCTCTCGTTGGCTTATTCTTCTAAAGTTTTCTCTTTTATTTAATTACAAGCATAATTATGATAGATGATTCATAATTTTTGTGATCAAAAATTTCACTTTTAAACCGTTAAATTATTATTTTAGCTGCGCCTTATAAATTTGTTTTTTTTTTTAACCTGCAGAACACCGATCTCACATGAATTATTGTCGAGACGAGATGTTCCGCGTTTGCCCATAATTTTTTTGATAATAGGGATCACTTTTTTTTAATCAAAAAGATAAATCGTTTATTGAAAACCATTTTATCAGAATTTTGGGCAGAATTAAAAATGGCATGAAACTCAGCCCGCAAATATTCGCTAATGCCGGTGCGGAGATGAACGTTACGTAATACATAAAACGAAAAACGAATTATGCTTGTAATAAATTATCGAATAAATTTAAGAAAATTTTACAGGTTGCCCGAAAGTGTTTGTCGATTGTCGATTTTGCCTTGATAAAATTATAAAATTGTAAATATTAAAAATATTTATTGGTCATTTATCATCATTTTTGCAATCAATATTTTCACTATAATAGATAGAAGACAAACATTTCATTCTTAGAGTTGTAAGAATTACGAATTTTTGTAAGTTTTCTAAATTTTGACATTTTACTTACCGTCCAAGTTCCAAGAACCCTATGAATCTAATTCCATAGGGTCCCAATTGTTAAGAACAATAAAGAGCGTACTCAAAGGGTCGTCGGTTTTAAAAAATTTTCAGTTATTTATGATTTCTCCTATTTTATTTACTTTACTAAAAAGTAAATAAACGAATTTACTTATTTCATTACAATTAGGACAAAACTTTGGAGGGTTTTTTTTATCCTCCTGTCGGAACGAATTTTTTGAACGTATGGGCGGTATGGCGGTGTTCTGCGCAGTTTTTGTCTATGATAATTTTTTTTTTTTCAGTTGTTTACAGTTAAATGGATGTTTGAATACCTAACTCCGATTATATTGGTATCATACCAAAAATAGAAAAAAAAAATATTGGATGATGCGATCAGCCGCAGTATATCGGAGGCTTTTTTTTTTATTATTTTTTTTTATTTCCAGTTTTTTTTTTTTCAAACCCAGAAACAACTGTATTGTCAAAACAATTGTATTGTCAAACTATTGTATTATGCAAGATACTATACTCCCTAATGTGTATTCAAAAAAGTATTTATATACCCTCAATACCCCTCTTTTTTTCATCATCTTTTTTTTCGTCAGCACTTTCGTCGTCTTTTTTTTTTCGAGGTCTATCTTCTCTCTTAGGCTTTTCCTTCTATCTCTTAGCCCCTTTTCTTTACATCTTCCTTTAGACGGGTTTGTGTGTGGTTATATCATTTTTTTTCGTCTTTTTTTTTAGGACTCTCTGTCTAGGTTTTCTCTTATTAGGCCTTCTTTTAGACCCCTTTTTTGTTTTGTCCTTTTTTTTTGTTTCGTTGTCTTTTTTTTT